AATGCCCAAACGGACATGCCCAAAGCCCTAAACGGACATTTTTATCGATCGATAGTTGGTAAAAATTGAAATGACCGTTTCATGAAAATGCCTTGAATAACAAAATGTGGCACACCAATTCTATTTGACCGTTTGAGGCTGAGAGCAGCCGGTCTTTTTATGAAAGTTTCGGTCAAGTCCGGAATATATGACCGTTTTGGAAGCCCTGCATCTGACCTAAGATTTGTTTGTTCCAAAATTGTATTAAATGTTGTCTTATATCCATTTTAATAGTTCTTTCAAAACTGAATACATGTGAAATTGTCGTAAATCATTTGAAATTTTTTTTTCTTATGCACTGGTAGTATTGAAATTAACTGTATATGTATTAAAACCTCCTTACCTCTCTAACAAGAATACAAACAGGTATTGTCAGTGAACATATAAAAGTCTTAAATTCATAATCATCTTCCTCTACAGCTTTTTTAATCTATATAATATAAAAGTTTATTAGTTTCTTAAACATTTTGTCCCAAAATAAAAGATCTGGGATAAATAAAATGACAAGCAGACAGCTACTTAATACAAAAAAATATATATCTGGATGGCAAAATATGTTTTTGTCTGCATCTAAACAAAATGTGAAGATCAATCATGTGACCTGGCTATAGAGCACAATACAGCAAGCTTGTTCACAAAAGTGGTTTTTTTTTACTGTATCAATATGAAAAAACCTTAAAACCTCTACATATCTGGCCCTAGTTAAACAAAATTTAACTTATTCTTATTAATTCAATATCATAACGGTAATGGTGATAAGTCAAAGTATAGACCTTTGTAGATTGATTGATTCATTGTTGGTGATTAACACCACTTTCAGGCTATATCTTGGCATTCAGTTTTTATTGGTGGAGGAAGCCTGAGTGCATGGAGAGATCCACTAACCTTTGGCAGAAAAACTGAAAATCCAAGTAAATTAAGATTGAAGTCGAAACCCACTTGCCATGTGCTGGGTTTGAACTTAGTGTTGACAGACTAGTGATACAGTAGCTAAACTACTCAAACCGCCAAGATAAATCCCCCTAAATAAAGGAATGACATACCTTATGTAGAAATTCTTCATCTATATATGTCTGTAGTATACCTAAACAAACTGGACAAGGCGTAGTTAATGGAAACACATTTTCCTTCTTTAATATTGATTCAACCATCCTCTCAATTTCCTAAAAAAAAGAAAGTGAAACATGTGTAAAGTACCTATGTGAATCACAAAAATGTGCTGACGAAACTCTGTAATTAACCTTTTAATAGATATTCTTTCTTAATTCAACCAGTAAAAAGTGAACGCCTGTCTTCAAATCACACTTTTCAGTCACAAAGGACAAAGAAAACCATTTGCATAATAATCAATCTCTGATTAATCTCATTATAAACATGATAAAGTTGTAGCTTATGAATGAATCTTTATTGCAAAAGCATAAACATGCTATGGCAAAATCAACAACATATATTACATAATGTAAAGCATGGATAGACAGCAGTGAACAATAGGAAAATACTATGACAAATGTCAAGTTATGAGATCTAATATACACTGCAGATTTTATATAATCACATAATTTGGTAGTAAGAGACTTACTAGATGCTTGAAGTAAATTATGCCAAGAACAATAATATTATGGAAAAAATTGATTTCGCACAGATCTATAAGCTTGACAAACAAGAACAAAATGATATTTATCTTCAATAACACACATTTTACAGCATCTACATTAGCGATTTTCTCTAGGAATATTATTGTAATAAACCAACTTCAACTTTAAAGTTTAATGTTCCACTACGTAACTTTTAACAAAACATTATTGTTATAGAAATATATACTGGTATACTAGTATATAACAGTTTTACACCAAACATGTGATTACCAATTTTTTTGCAGGAGGTCCAAAAATCTATTTTAAATTTATCCACAGGTTTTTAAACAAAAATTCTCAAGTGTTAAAACCAAAATGCTCAGTTTGACCTAATGTAAATTACCAACTCAAATCAGTTCAAATATTATAATTAACTTTCAAAATATTTAAATCATAACAATTGTCTGTAATTGTTTGAATGCGGTCAATATGAATAAAAGGAGACGTAGGATATATGATACTGAGACAGCAATCCAACCAGAAAAACGACAAAAATTAACCAAAAGACATCTTAACTATACAACAAGAACTGGAAAGATAAAACAGTTCTGAATTTAGAGGTATTTTCAGTTTAAATTCTACCTTAATAACCTTCCAGTATACCACAAATTTGATAAACTTTATCTTGTTCTATGAAAGCTGACTATTTTCAAAGGCTTTCTGGAAATGTACATGTAACTGACCTAAGATTTTGAATTAAAAATATTTCTTTTAGATTCAATAAAGTGATCACTATAAATTGATATCCAGAAATATCACAAAGTTGAACAAAATCCCTGCTTACAATATGTATATTTACCTGTGTTGTCTGTAAACAATATGTATATATTCACAAAATGTACTTGTGTTGTCATTCTGTAAACAATATGTATATTTACCTGTGTTGTCAATCTGTACACATCTCCTTTTCTCTCACCAATATACCTCAGTATACATCTTGGACAACATCCAATTTCTCTCAATGTTTCAGTTATGTCCCTTAGTAAGTCAGTGTTTGAAGTTAACTTGGTCTAGCAAAAATAAATAAAAAAATCTTATGTAAACATTAGGTGTTTGAGAAAGATTAATATTCCATCATGAATCCAATTGATTAGCCTCGTACATAATGTAGATAGCAAATCAAATTCACTGATGTCTACAAGAGATGATTTTACCTATTCTGACATCAGACTCCGACTTCTTTTAAACTGAGTTTTACTGTGCATATTGCTGTGTTTGTTTATTCTACATTGGCTAGAGGTATAGGGGGAGGGTTGAGATCTCACAAATCATGTTTAACCCCGCCGCATTTTTGCGCCTGTCCCAAGTCAGGAGCCTCTGGCCTTTGTTAGTCTTGTATGTTTTTTAATTTTAGTTCATTTATGTTTTGGAGTTTAGTGTGACGTCTATTTTCATTGAACTAGTACACATCTTTGTATAGGGGCCAGCTGAAGCCTGCCTCCGGTTGCGGTATTTTCTCGCTGTGTTGAAGACCCATTGGTGGCCTTCGGCTGTTATCTGCTCTTTGGTCGGGTTGTTGTCTCTTTGACACATTCCCTATTTCCATTCTCAATTTTATTTATTAATCATTAACTCCAAACCTTATTTACTTAAGTTAGTTTCACTAAATACATGAAATTATGGTTATTGTACATACACATTTCCCTTGGCCATATTATCAATATTAAAATAATATACAGAGCTCTGGATCATCCATTAAATTTATATCTGTATTTATCGAATATAAGCCCTTTAGTGTTTTTTCCGGCGTAAGCTATTCAATCTCAAGCTGCATATTCAAGTAAACAAAACCTGGTATAAATTGAGAAACAGACATCAACTTGAATCAAAATGTCGATCTTTGAAAGTTCAACATACATAAAAATCTAAATACAGTTAAGTTTAATTTTTAACTAAAAACTACAGCGAATGAATTCTTGTGACGAGCCGATCCAGGGCGAACATATTGTAATTTGTAGGGTCGAACGAACACAATACCGGCTTCCAGAAACATAATCACATAGAATTATAGTTATCTCGTACCATTGAAAACTCGTACCAATGTCAACTCGTACCACTAAAAAAAAACTCGTACCAATGCAAACTCGTACCACTGCTAACTCGTACCACGGTAAATTCATACCATTGTAAACTCGTACCAACTTATTTAAATGCATTCAAATGGTGTTTAATGATGAATATATACTTTAATTTCCCTCAATACCTCGTAAATCTGTAAAGTGTATATAATTTGAAATTACAATGACCAATTTGTAGCTAATTTTCCTTGTCTAATTGGATAGAGAAAACCGTGGCAGATTGGCTTTGTTGTCTCCCTTGAGTAGACTCTTTTTTTAAACTTTTACCAGGAACATATATATTGACAGACGCTACCAAAATCCGTAAATCTCGGGAAGTCTCTGGGAGTCCGAGATTTTATCAATTTTATACTGAAAAGCGTATCAGATTCATTTCCCGTTAGATATACTGTTCCCAGCTTTTACTGACAACTATTTGATTTAATTTTTAATCATTCCAAATCAGTATCATTGAATAGATTTGTGTATTTTTCTTTTGTTTCTAAAAGGAATTTTTATTTAACGAAAGAATTTATTTATTGTGTTTTAAATAAACTCATCATAGATACCAGGATTAAATTTTGTATTTACGCCAGACGCGCGTTTCGTCTACAAAAGACTCATCAGTGACGCTCGAATCCAAACAAGTTAAAAAAGCCAAATAAAGCACGAAGTTGAAGAGCATTGAGGACCAAAATTCCTAAAAGTTTTGCCAAATACAGCTAAGGTGATTCTATTCCTGAGCTAGAAAAGCCTTAGTATTTCAAAATTGCAAAAGTTTTGTAAACAGTTAATTTATAAATATGACCATATCAATGATAATTCATGTCAGCACAGAAGTGCTGACTACTGGGCTGGTGATACCAAAACAAAATCATAAAACATTCGTATTTTTTAATATATTTTTAATGGTACGAGTTTGCAGTGGTACGAGTTCTGATTGGTACGACTTCCCAGTGGTACGAGTTTACGTTGGTACGAGTTAACTTTTTTGGTACGAGTTTACGTGGTACGAGTTTACAATGGTACGAGTTAACTTGCTTCCATCACATAATCTCAGTCACAACGTGTTTAAATAAGTGCCAGAAGGAAAGGAGAGAAAATAATGTTTTGTGACAAAAATAAACATTAGATATAACAGTTTTGGAGATATTTATCAATAAAATTGCGCCAACAACATTTAAAGGCAAATTTTAAAGTAAGACGAACTTGAATAATGGGCGCAGCCATCTTGTTCATCAGCGACATCTACAAACGGAAGTTTTGAAATTACCTCCCTTCTGTTTTGGACTGACCAAACCCTATCAGAAGAGACATTACCAGATATGCATTTACCATAAAAACAAACAGAAATACGGTAATTTTGTAAAATAATTTGACTCTTAAATACACTCCACATATTGAAGAAAATAAACCATGATAAAAATAGCGATTTGATATAAGAATCTGTTTTCGGATGCTATATTTTGTCCGAGTATTGACAAAATTGCTGCAGCCGGACCTTAGCAGATTTAGTGTCAAAGTGTCATTGCCCCAAAATAAAAATATTCCAATATCTTTTGTGCACAAAAAAGGGTACGACTATCAAACTGAACTATCAGTGTCAACCTGTTAAAATTGGATACAAGTTAAATCAGCACCTGGACAATATTCAGCACCTATAGAAAAGTCTTATTACCACCCGATCAAATTAACAAGGTACCATTTTGACTAGGTATGAAATGAACTATATTGAATGCCGAAGTATATATATAAATATTATATAGTCGCCGCCATGTAAAATTGGCAGCATTTATTTGAATCAAATATTTTGATATCGTCTTAGTACCTGTTTTGACGCGGACCAGAAATGACGCACCGATTTAATTAACGGTTTTATATTTCGAAACAAAAGCCGTGACGTCATCAACATTTGCTGTACATAAATGATGTTGAAGGTCATCTGACTAAAACAAAGATGCCTAAAACTCTGCCCAGAAATGTTATTATTGCTTAAAATATTAAAGACAATGCAATTTCCACCATTTTATTAAGGTAAAAAAAATTCTACCCTTCCCCGAAAGATTATCAGTCCTATCTCCACTTTGGTCAAGAAAAGTATGTAACCGTATGCTTCCCCATTTTGTGTTTTTCAAATCACGTGACTGTCATTTGACATGTTTGACATGGCTTTACATTTAAGCGGGAATCACTGTAGAACAAATGATCGTCGCCTATATAATTTTCTATGGTTTATCGATTTTTTTCATTCAATGTATGAAGTATACGTATGTACATATATAAATGTATTATTGTCAATGTTGTTTTATGAATGCAATTACTTTTTATTTTCAAATATATGGAATATGTATATCACTTTCATAAATTTTGGACATTTATATATCAAAATATAGGTTACAATTAAATTGATTAAAAATTTGGTGTTACAATCATCATGATCATTAAAATGAATGAAAATTTCAAAAGTTGTTAATAAAATTAAATCTGTTGAACAGTTTTAACTTTAAAGAATCCGGATTGAAGCAATTTTTCGATTATCAGTTACGTACAAGTGGTTTTTACTAGTTTGTTTACAGTGCGTCATTACTTGTACCCATCATTAGTTGGCAGTCGTTTTTAATGTTAGCAAACATGATTTTTATTGCTATTACTGTTTCAAATATCAACTGTTTAATAATTGAAATATAATAACAAGTTATCAATCTTTTATTCCATTCCGTTTTTCTAATTCTTTTAAATGGTAGATTAAATGCAGAGACAAAAACAACCTTAGGTGCGTCATTACTGGTTCCTGGGGATACTACAATGTATGTAGCTTGTTAGTTTGAGATGAGCTTTTCACTTGGCAGAACCTAAAATCTGCCTGAAAGACCATGAATTCTAGTCACTTTGGCACCTGGTTAAATGACACCTGGTCAAATCATCACCCAGAATAGTCAAATCGGCACCTGATGTAGTCATTTCGGCACCCATGTTAAATATGTTGAATATATATATTTTTTCAGTATTTTAAGCAAAAGATTAAAATAAAGAAGGGGGATGGCCAGAATTATTGTTAATTATCAAGTTCTTTTTGTTTCTGTACATGTACATGTATGTATTTTTTTCTGTCAATTTTATGTGTATTCAAGGTATTGGATATTTATTATGCATGTTTTAATCAGTTGATATTGATGAAAGGCTCACCGTCACTCATTATAGTTTGCCCTTTTATTGCTGCTGATTTGTTCATGATTAAACAACAGCTTGGGTAATGGCTTCAGCCATAGAATGTAATAAATTCAAACAATTTACTTATGTTCTAACTGCTTAATAACATGTGATGATTTTTAAAGATGTACTGAACAAAATAAAATCCAACCCCCAAATAATAAAAATTTTGTTTAAATAATCAAAAAGGTGAAAAATATTATTTGGTGCCGAATTGACCAACTAAATGCCGAAATGACTTTGAATAGGTGCCAATTTGACCAGATGCCGATTTGACTTTTTCTATAGGTGCCGAAATAACCAGGTGCCAATTTGACTTTTACCCAAAACCACTTCTGCCCTACCTATTATTGTGATTGCACTGTATAAACCTGACATTCACATAATCCTTAATGTTTTTTTTCTAATGGAAAACAAAGACCTGTAATAAGACCTTACAATTAAGAATATAATGTAATACTAAAATTTATCAAATTCAAAATCAGGATATTATTAAATATAAATGATGAAAATGATTGATTGATTGTTATTTGCCCAAGTTCAGTGTCAAATAGTTCGTGCATATTCAAGACTAAGAAAATGAATTCAAAGTCTTGTATCAAAAGGCAAGGACAAGGAGTGTACTTGTGAGATCAACTTCCTTACTTGTAAGGAAGTAAGGTTGTCCCAATGCTAAGTGTTCAATCATGTTCTCTCTCTCTCTGGTATATTCATTAACTAGAAATTGACCTACTTACTGTAATGCCATTTTTGATACGTTGGGTTTCCTTTTTTATGTCCTGCCTACAATACATGTAGTGAAGGGGCTATATGTTTTCTGGTCTATACACATGTATGTCTGTCCTTCTTGTATCAGATTAAAATTTTTGGTTTAAGGTATTTTTGCAGACACACCAACTTGAAACTTAGAAGACATGTTCATTGTGACTTTTTTGTTAAGATACATTGTATTTTGCTCTTCTCTAATTATGGAAATGTGAAAGTGCAAGCCAGAAATGGTGTCCCATGGATTCATAGTTTTGTTTTATTCTATTTTTTTCCCATTCTTTCTATAAAATTTTTGATATTCCTGTACTTTGTATATATGTGTTTGTATTTTTCTTTTGGTAATGTTCGTATTATCAATAAATGCATGTACAATTCATTTAGCTTTTGATTAACAGTCACCAACACTACACTTATCTAAGAAAATACCAAGCTTACTCAAGGGAAATAACTTCATTTCATACCATCAAGTAAAATAGAGTTGTTTCCATTTTAGTTTTTTTTTTTCCAAAACAGAAAATTTTATGGTTTTATTTTAATTTATCCCAAATCTAACTCTACTAACTGTAAAACAATAACAATGATTAACAGTAACACAAAGTTTTATACTGTTAAATTTTATATTAAACATTCCTTCCCAAAGGAGAGACAAGTCTTGCAATTTAATAAATGGGAGATAACTTTCAAATTATTGGTTTTTCAGGGATCTTCATTAAAGGGAGAACATATTTTTTTTCAATTTTTTGTCAGTTTTGTGATTTTTAAAAGATTTTTTGACTTGGAATATTGGTACATGTTGAATAAGATTTAGGTTAAAACCATGAAGGTCAAGGTACAGTTAATAACTTGAACTAATATAAGCACAGTAGCACATGTATGATCTAATTAAAATTCTACAGATCTCAATATTCTTGTACACAAGCAAGCTTTAAGGGTAGTGACTAAGTGAGTGGTCTGTGCCCTTTTCAGCAGTTTATATCAGTGTATTGAGTATCCAAATTGTATGGATTCATAATATCGTTTATGATATTTATAGAAAGAAAGGAATACCTTTAATAAATAAAAAGTCTCTTTGTTTTGTTTTTATTTTTAACACATAATTAAGTTTTTGAAAGTTGCAATTTTTTTTAGGTAGGAATACAAAATTAATTTTATTTTAGGAAGAAAGGAGGAAAGATTGTATATAACTGGAAAACAAGGATCTCCGCTATAAAACTACTGTAAATAGATCAAAACTGTTCCTAAATTAAAAAAAAAAGATGGACATACATGATATTAAATGCTTCCAACACTGTGAAAAAGGATTAAACATTTTATGCTTTACTGTCCCAGTTGTCTGCCCTTTGTGTGGAGTTGACGTTACAAGTACACCTTGCAGGATACCACCATACATCATCTCTACACCATTTGTCAATGGCAAGGGATATCCATGTTCAGTTATCATCAAGCCAACCGTCGGGACGTTTCTACAAAACTACAGTAACAATTCAGACCTTCATGTTGGTGTAACAGACTCAGCTGGTTGTACTTACGATTACAATGAAGAAGGCGTAAATATCGGCACGGTATGGGACCAGTGCGTTGTGATCAGAATGGTCAAAGAAGATTACAACTTACAAACTCAATGGGACTATGTGCTTAGACAAATAATACAATCTCAAACATGGAGTAGATCGAGATATAATGAAAACTCGCATAACTGTTTTGATTTTGTTCTAACCTTTCTGCACTCCTGTGACCTTGAAAGGACAATGCCAGCAGTACAAACCAAACAAACCTTTTGTGAAGAACTAGTCATCAAGCACACCCACAAAACTGCTGTTTATATTTCTATTTATAGAAAAATTCAGAAGAATGGATTTTATATTCAAAATGTGAACACAGACAAATGAAAAACTACATTTTTTTAGTATTTTATATACTTACAGGTGGTTCTGACTGTTTACCTATCTTTATACAGAAAAATACTGGTTTGGATTTTCCCTTTTAATAAAAAGCACCCAAACAAAATCACTTGTTAAAATAGCATTATAATTTAAAGCATGAAAAACAATGAAGTGGATCAAATTTATATATTCAGTCAACATTGTATTATGGTTGTGGTGTATTTATTCTAGTCAAAATATGTAACTGCCTTTTGATTTTATACATGAATATAACATTTTTATCTTCAGCTGCATTTGTGTATTATAAATTTTTTAATTAAAACATGATAAAATTATTATTTACTTGAGTTGTTTCATGTCAAAATTTTGTTATAGTTATCTCCCATTTCAGACCAATTTTTCACATTTAATGATCTAACATTTCAAAAAATTTAAGAAGGCCCTAGAAGATATTATACTCAAAACTTAGATAATTATGGAATTTATAAAGATTTTTGTCACATATTTTTCTATGCACAGAAATTTGAAATGAATAAATGCTACAAAGATAGTTCAGAGTATAAATTCCTAAATACTAGCAAATTTAGAAAATAAAACTTAACTCATTATTTCATCTTTCCTTGATATTTTATTTTACAACCCAAACGACAAGAAAAGTTCTTTGGTACAGAGGATAAAACTACACATTATTCTTATTAGAATATATATTTGCTCCAAAGTAGGATGTATCCTTTGATGGTTACAATGCATATACATGTACATCTTCGCTATCCAAGGGTTACTATCCAGTCCCCTCCTCTCCACCCTTGGCAGATTAAGCCAATATTTGTGATTACAATGCTGCACCATCTACCTATAGATAAAAGTCACGCCCACTCTGACTACATCATTCTTGACCAATGGCAGTACTTGAATTCTGTTCATTGTGGAGGTGTAAAAATGATTGTGTTTAGTGTTTACTAATTTTGTAAAGCAGAAACCGCAACTATACCATGACATTCCTACATTTGCACTAGAATTAAGAAACATACCCAGGAACTCCAATTAGCTGATTAAGAACTTTAAAACTGAATAAATATCGTCCTCTGATTTGGGGGTAAAGACTTGTTGCACAATCAGCACATGGAAATTGTTTATGTATATTTTCTAAATTTACATGCGATCATCTTAGAGGTGCTTTTTGATTGGATGCAGTCAGTTACAACTGCCACCAATGAATATCATTACCTCCTGGATCCAAAATTCTATCTTAATCCTCAAGGGTTGAGAGGAGGGGACTGGATCGTAACCCTTGGCTTGCGAAGATGATACATGTATAATGGAATTAAATTTGAAACATTGAACTTCCAATGGGCATTTTAACTTCATTAATGACACACCCTCTTGTGGTGGGCAACAATTGAAATTAAGTTTTGATAATATTTTTTTATGTCATTTGTTGCTGTATACATGTCATATTTGTTTTTTGTTCATTGTTTTGAACATAAATCAGGCGGTTAGTTTTCTCGTTTGAATTGTTTTACATTTGTCAATTTGGGTGTTTTTATAGCTGACTATGCTGTATGGATTTTGCTCATTGTTGAAGGCCGTATGGTGACCTATAGATGTTAACTTCTAAGTTATTTTGTCTCTGGTGGAGAGTTGTCTCATTGGTAGTCCTACCCCATCTTTTTATTTTTATATTCAAAGGGAATTATAATGAGCCAGACATTACTTGTATATATATATTTATGAAAAATAAAAAGAACACAACAGTCTACAAAACACCACAGACACACAGAAAAACCAAGGGAACACAACAATCCATATAACACCACACAGAAAAACCAAAGGGAACACTAAAATCCATATAACACCACACAGAAAGACAAAGGGAACAAAACAATCCATATAACACCACACAGAAAAAGAAAGGGAACACGACAATCCATATAACACCACACAGAAAGACAAAGGGAACACAACAATCCATATAACACCACACAGAAAAAACAAAGGGAACACAACAATCCATATAACACCACACAGAAAGACAAAGGGAACACAACAATCCATATAACACCACACAGAAAGACAAAAGGAAAACAACAATCCATAACACCACACAAAAAGACAAAGGGAACACAACAATCCATATAACACCACACAGAAAGACAAAGGGAACACAACAATCCATATAACACCACACAGAAAGACAAAGGGAACACAACAATCCATATAACACCACACAGAAAGACAAAGGGAACACAACAATCCATATAACACCACACAGAAAGACAAAGGGAACACAACAATCCATATAACACCACACAGAAAGACAAAGGGAACACAACAATCCATATAACACCACACAGAAAGACAAAGGGAACACAACAATCCATATAACACCACACAGAAAGACAAAGGGAACACAACAATCCATATAACACCACACAGAAAGACAAAGGGAACACAACAATCCATAACACCACACAGAAAGACAAAGGGAACACAACAATCCATATAACACCACACAGAAAGACAAAAGGAACACAACAATCCATATAACACCACACAGAAAGACAAAGGGAACACAACAATCCATATAACACCACACAGAAAGACAAAAGGAACACAACAATCCATATAACACCACACAGAAAGACAAAGGGAACACAACAATCCATATAACACCACAGTGCACAAAAAACACACTGCAAAACAACACATACAGAAAACCAAAAACTGAGCAAAACAAACCAGCCAAAAAAACGGGGGGGGGGGGGGGGGGGGGGGGGGGGGTTTGATATCAGGTGTTCCTGAAGTATTAAAAGTTCTATAATGTAGATACATTCAATGTGTTCTGACCAGCAAAAACTGGATGATTTAGGAAATATGAACCTGAAGCTGAATTAATTTTTCAGGAGATCCATATTTATAACCATATGATACTGTAAATTCAGAAATTATTGCGAGGTTTTTATTAATGCGAATAATGCGATTGCATGAGTATCGCAATAATAAGACCTCGCATTATGGTATCTAATACATATATTTCTATTCACTTTTTCCTGAAATCGCAAAAATTAATCTCGCATTTTTTCCAATTTTAAAAAAATCGCAATAATAAACGCACGCAATAATTTCTGAATTTACAGTATATCATTTTGTATGCATGCATGCATCCCATAGTTTGGGTCTCATTTTAATTTGGAAACATGGGAGAACCATTGCTTTCAGCTTTTGCATGCATAGATGCTGACTCAAAATGAGAGCTTGATAATTGCCATTTTTAACCGAAAAATATATTTTTTCAGGTGAGAAAGTGATTTGCTGTGGTTATGTGAATTTTCAGTATTATTGATGCAATTAGTCAGCTTTGAAGTTGGGAAATTTTTAAGCTTTTCGGTTATAAGTGCAATGCATTAACAAAAACAAACAATTACGAAGCCATGATAATTTTGACTGACTGGTGGTGTGTCTGCATGTAAATATTCTTTATAATCTGTAGGTCTTGTAGTGCATTGGCAACATGTATTGTGAATGGGCATCACTGCAGGGAGAAATACAATGTGACAAAGCTAACCAGAGTGTGCTACACAAGTTCCCAGCGACAGTTGGAAGAGATGTTGCCTACACGGTGGTTAAAAGTATTGCTCAGAACTTGAGCATTGCTGGTAGTAACTCAGAACCTAGTCACTTGGTATCTGACAAAGAAGTCAAATGGACTATGGAGGTGAGTTGCATCAATATGGTATTCTCGTTGGTGCCTTTAAGGCTTTTAGCACCATGGTAAAATTTATTGAATTTATTTCCATACCTGTAGCCTTGTAAACTGAATTCTTCCAAATTTATTTACAAATATACCTATTTCTTTTTGAAAATTCTATCATTTGAATACTTTTGATCAAATTGTTTACATTTTTCCAGGTATTGTGTTTTGGTTTAAGTTTACCTTTAACAGAACAAGACACTATCAAGGAGTGTGTTGGTGTGTATTGTGATTGGCTGTCAGCTTGTACAGAGCCTAAGGCCTGTGTACCCAGACCTGTCATGGAAAACCCTAACCCATATACTCAGGATATTATACATCATTTACTCAACTTGTTTGTTCCAAGACCAGGGTCAGGTAAGACTTGTGAATCAATAAATAATTGTGATGGCTAATGTCACAGATAGGTAGAATATACAAATAGATGTGAAGGCAGATGTCACATATAGGTAAGACATGTGAATCAATACAAGGAATTGTGAAGGCAGATGTCACAGACAGGTAATACATGTGAATCAATACAAATAATTGTAATTTGTATTGATTCACATGTTTTACCTGTCTGTAACAGACAGGTAAAACATGTGAATCAATACAAATATGATATCAGTGACTGAAGTACTGTAAATTCAGAAATTATTTGCGTGCATTTATTATTGCGATTTTGTCATTTTAGACTAAAATGCGATTTTAATTTTTGCGATATTGAGAAAAAATCCTGTTTTATTCATATAAAAAATTTCAAAATGCAAGTTTAAATTATTGTGATTTTAACCCTGTCGCATTTTTCGCAATAATAAAAACATCGCAATAATTTCTGAATTTACAGAATTGCATATGGAGCCAAGTTCAGGGTCCACTTATTTAATTAGACATTTGATTTTACTCAAATTTAGGTTGCCACTACATCACATAAAGTTGACTATAAACATTTTAACATCATTGGGTCATTACCTCTACTGGTGGACTATCAGTCCCTGAGAATATCACCAGCTTAGGAAGTACTGACTTTGGTTTATAACAAACATTTCTAAAAAATTTCTGTTTATAAATTTTGAAATTATAAAGAAACTAAGGTTTCAACTACCTCCAGCAAAGATGATGGATTTCGCCATTTTTATGTCCTTTTTATATGGTCATATAGCTCTTCGACTGTTTCAAGTCTTATACATAATTGGCTTTCAAATATTAGGTTTTGATCGTTCCTGATGAAGATAAATCCAGAAAAGTGGTTTGGACACATGAAACTTATAAAGTGTTATTGTCATTTTTTTTTAAGGCCATTTAGTTTTTTACTTGCACACATTTTATATTTAAGCTACCGGTACCCAAATAAATAGGTTTCTGAATTATTTTTTTTCATAAAGTATGAAAATAGTATTAAATGACAATATGATGAATCTACATAGGGACTGATAAAAAATCTGGCTGAAGGACAGGAAATAAACATTTTTTACATCACTTTTTTTTAAACAGTAATTTGAACTTGTGCAATATTGGAGGAATTTCTGGAGATTATTTGTAGATTTCATTTATCATTTTGTGAAATTATATGCTATTTCTATTTAGTTTTGGACCTTGTTAAAAGACAAGCCTTGCTATGTCACAGAACTCTGAGAGCTATAGAAGAAGTTGCTACAAAGTCCACCATTTTGACTAGAGATACATGGGAAACTTTATTAAAGTTTTTATTGGCTGCCAATGATAGTCTGCTATCGCCCCCTACAGAAAAAGGTAAAAGGTTTAAGATGGAAAAGTCAAGGTGCCTCTTGTTGCATCATGTTTGATTATACGACCAGTCACCTGTTTTGGAAACCAGAGTTATGTTGAATGCATTTTGAGATTTTGAATGGTTTTTTCAAGTTTATATGTGATTATTGAGTTTGAACTTTTATTTATAAATGATTTGTAAGGTCATAGTTTAATCTATAAAGCAACTGTAGTTGATTAAAGTCATCAATGACTGAATGAATTTAATTTAAACATGTTCGATAACGCATTTTGTCAAATTTTATTTTATTTAAAAAATTGAATAAAGGCTTAAAGAATGATGAGGAGGTACTGTTCACTGCTGGTAGAAAACCCTGACAAAGTTGAATTGAATGCTGAGTTAGATCCCCTTATAATTGAGTGTCTGGATGGGGGATTCTGTATTCTTTAATTTTTTAAGCCATTTTTCTCTATTCTTTATATTTGTTGCCCTATATTCTCTTTTCTTTATGTTTTTTAACACCCCTTTGTTCTTTATTCTTTTTTTTTTTTGGCCTGTGTTTCTCTATTCTTTATTTTTTTGGCTCATTTTTCTTTAGTATTGGTCCATTACCGGTATACTCGATTGTGTAAACCCCATCCAGACCCTCATAATTATAATAACTGTCTGTACATAATAAACATTGCTTAAGTGTATATCTCTGCAGTTTATATTGCAAAATTTAACACTTTATAAGTATATTGATGTTTGTGAAACATAATTATAATTCTGCACATAAAGCGATTTGATATTCATTGATTTGGTATGTGTAGTATAGAATTTGCATGTTTTTGTTTTCCTTCATGCAGACGACACTGGCCTGAGTTCATGTAAGTGTTTAAATGCTTGTAACATGTATATAGTGTACTAACAGTATCATTTCTCATCGGCAGATGCTAGGTTCAGCTTATTTAAAATACATCAAAAATATTCATACAATGAAATACTGTTAAAGAAACTGTGGAAGAACCAAAATTTTGCCACCACAAATCAGAATTTTTCAATTGTTGATGATACCTAATGTCAAAATGACCTTACTAACCTATTTGAAGGTCATTCTTCATAGATATTTAGTTTATTATATTGTAAACTAGAACCACTTAAAAATTTTATACTTTTACTCATTTTTCTTCAAAATAAAGATTGAAACTTGTAGGAATTAAACATTTTTTTACCTTATGTCATTTATTTTATTCTCTCACAAGTTACAGCATAAACCATTTATGTTTTAACCAATTTTATTGCATCTGTTTGAATTCTATTAGAAATTTAAAAAAGAACGAGCTGTTTGAAAGAAAAATAGCTATGGTGGAACTCGGGTAAATGTACGGTACAAGCACATGAATTAAGGCGTTACCCCATAGCAATATTTATTTCAATACTTAAAAGTGTTTGATTGGTATAATGGAAACAAGGATATGGCACATGGCAGAAAATCCCTGCTTACAAATGACAAAATAAAAGGAAATGAACCTTGCTTTCATTTGATGTTCTTCATCTCATTGATGTCTTCTACATGGAGCAAAAGACCACACCTCACTACAAGTTTAAGACAGCAACTAGCACTAGTTTATGTAGAAAACTTAGCTAGATGCTAGCTTTGATAAAATTTAGAAGTTGAACTAACCAGTTGCAATGAAATTGGTTAACACATGCCTGGATTTTTGCTGTAAAACAGTTTTTTATTTAAAAGATGAGATATGATTTGGGATATTGTAACAGTGTGTTGTGTGATTGCATGTATGAAGATAGGTTTTCAGCTGATCTTTGGATGGCAGATGACATTATTCTTTTCATTGATGTAATTTATGAAAACAGAGCAAGGTTTTGCTTAAGCTTGTTTGCTGTGAGGTAGTTTGTAAAACCTTGACAGCTTTAGACTGTATATTTTATTATTTGGTGCTAGTATTTTTGCTTTCTCACACTAGTAAGTAGATGTTTAAAAACAAGTATTCTAATAAAAGTGATAAGTTTGGGTTAATCTTATATAATTTTAATGCCTTGTCTATGTTTACAATAGTTTTAAACTTAAATTTTTTAATTGCTTGAAAAAAAATTTCAGTTTAGGCACATATAAAAATTCTCATGTCAGATGACTTGAAATGAGGGGAGACAATTTGTTGTTCACTTCATTTACATCACATAAAAATAGTAAAGAAATATTATTCACTTCATTATTGCCCTGTCTTTTGAATTGCTTGAAAAACATCTTAGTTTAGGCACATACAAAAATTCAGATAAATGATATGAGTTGAAATGAGGGCAGACATTTTGTAGTTCACTTCATTTACATCACACGAAAAAAATAATAAGAAAAATATAATTCACTTTGACATTTTTTTCATCTACAGTTCTGTTAAATCAGCATATTAGAAAGAAATGCATTGCTTATGTTTTGACTTTTTACTGTAGTCTTTAAAATACTTTTGCAGGGCATTTGTTTTTAATATTTTCTCTCTGATACCTTAAAGTGAATGGATTTTTCAGCATTGAAGACCTACTGCTTGCAAAATCTGGGAATTGCTTATGTCCCTTGAAATTTCTATTCTGAATAACATTGTTTCATTTGCTGAAAAATGAGTATTGTTGATTGTGATCTTTAATAAGCTGTTGTAAATACAGAACAAACTGGTCAAATAGGTTTTTCAGTCACACTTTTGTAATCTGTCTGATGTTTTGATTTAAAAATAAGAAGATGGGGTATGATTGCCAATGAGACCAAAGACCAAATGATGTCAAAGGTTAGCAACTTTAGGTTACAGTACAGCGTTCAACAAGGAGCAAAACCATAATTAAAATGACGAAACAGAGAGAGAGAGAGAGAGAAATTCTTCATAAGATTGAAAGTTTTAAGAAATATTATTGGATAAAACACCTAATGCATTTTGGGTAATATTTTAAAAGCTTATAGACTAACTTTGTGATTGGTTAATAATGTTCAGGAAATTTGATATTTAGCACACCTTAATATTTTTTTTATCGATTTTGGTTTACAAAATGAATAATCAAATTACCCACAATCCCTCAGTTTCTCAAACTAAAAGAAATGAAAGAATGACAGGAATAGACCATAACAACCAATATAAACTGAATGATATTCAAAATAACATAGAAGAGAGAGCGAAAGTTTCATCAGATCACAGGTTTTATAAGATATAAGTAGATAAACACCTAATGCTTTTTGGGTAATATTTGTATGGTTTGAAAACTGTCATTTATTATTATTTTCAGTTTTCAAACTGTACAAGTATTACCCAAAAAGCATTAGTGCTTATCTACTTATATTTCATAAAACTTGTGATCTGATGAAACTTTCACTCTCTCTTTTATGTTAATTTGAATATCATTCAGTTATCCAGTTTTAATCTGATTTAAATCTTTATTACAGACGATATTGGTGACCATTTATGTGAGCGAGTATTAAGTGTGTTATTTGAGATCTGGTTGTTGGCCTGTTACAAATGTTTTCCATCACCATCATTATGGAAGACATTCAGGAACATGTGTGTTAACTGGAGACATCATGAGACATTAGTAGTTCAATGGCATAAAGTGAACCATGCACTGACAGCCAGACTTCTCAAGTTTTTATATGGACCAGATTATCCTATATTACAGCTGGGCAATGGTAGGTATTACTTTTTTATTTATTCTGACTGGTTCCCTGTAGGTGTGAATTGTGATACTCTTCACTGATGGCCAGACTACTCCATTTTTAGCTCACCTGACCTGAAAGGTCAAGTGAGCTTTTCTCATCACTTTGCGTTTGTCGTCCTGCGTCCGTCGTCCGTAAACTTTTACAAAAATCTTCTCCTCTGAAACTACTGGGCCAAATTTGACCAAACTTGGCCACAATCATCATTGGGGTATCTAGTTTAAAAAATGTGTCCGATGACCCCGCCAACCAACCAAGATGGCCGCCATGGCTAAAAATAGAACATAGGGGTAAAATGTAGATTTTGGCTTATATCTCTGAAACCAAAGCATTTAGAGCAAATCTGACATGGGGTAAAATTGTTTATCAAGTCAAGATCTATCTGCCCTGAAATTTTCAGATGAATCGGACAACCCGTTGTTGGGTTGCTGCCCCTGAATTGGTAATTTTAAGGAAATTTTGCCGTTTTTGGTTATTATCTTGAATATTATTATAGATAGAGATAAACTGTAAACAGCAATAATGTTCAGCAAAGTATGATCTACAAATAAGTCAACTTGACCATTTTTCGTAAATTTTTGTAATCTTTTACAAAAATCTTCTCCTCTGAAACTACTAAGACAAATTTAACCAAAATTGTCCACAATCATCATTAGGGTATATAGTTTAAAAAATGTGTCCGATGACCCTGCCCGCAAACCAAGATGGCCGACATGGCAAAAAAATAATACATAGGGTAAAATGCAGTTTTTGGCTCATATCTCTGAAACCAAAGCATTTAGAGCAAATCTGATGGTATAAAATTGTTCATTAGGTCAAGATCTATCTGCCCTGAAATTTTCAGACCAATCAGGCAACATGTTGTTGGGTTGCTGCCCCTGAATTGGTAATTTTAAGAAAAATTTTCAGCTTTTGGTTATTATCTTGAATATTATTATAGATAGAGATAAACTGTTAACAGCAATAATGTACAGCAAAGTTAGATCTACAAATAAGTCAACATGACCAAAATTGTCAATTGACCCCTTAAGGAGTAATTGCCCTTTATAGTCAATTTTTTACAATTTTCATAAATTTTGTAAATTTTTGTAAATTTTTACAAAATATTTTCCACTGTAACTACTGGGCCAAGTTCATTATAGATAGAGATAATAGTAAGGAGCAAGAATGTTCAGTAAAGTAAGATCTACAAACACATCACCATCACCAAAACACAATTTTGTCATGAATCCATCTGTGTCCATTGTTTAATATGCACATAGACCAAGGTGAGCGACACAGGCTCTTTAGAGCCTCTAGTTTATATGGACCAGATTATCCTATATTACAGCTGGGCAATGGTAGGTATTACTTTTATATTAATTCTGACTGGTTCCCTGTAGGTGTGAATTGTGATACTCTTCACTGACGGCCAGACTACTCCATTTTTTATATGGACCAGTTTATCCTATATTACAGCTGGGTAATGGTAGGTATTACTTTTAACTGTGGATTTATTATTATTAGTTGGATACCAATTTTAGTGGATTTCATGCTTAAAGGTGACCAAAGAATTTAAAGGTTAAACAAAGTACAAATTTTCTATAAGCTTGTTTGCAGACTGATACAAAACCACAAAATCAAATATCCACGAAAATACAACATTCCTTCAATGAGGGTGGTAAAGGGTTATTTTCGTGCAATGTTTTTTGCCATTTTTATTTCACGTGCAGCCGTGAAAAAGGTTTGTTATTCACCGTGTTTCGTGAAATTGGTAAAAAGATCAACATGCAAGAAATTTTTAATTGTTTGTTCATCGTGAAAAGGCAATTTTATTTCACGTTCTTCCGTCCAGATACCCCCCCCCCCCCCCCCCCCCCCTTTACGCCCCTCTTCAATCCACAAAAACAAATGAATCCACAGTATATTAATCATGACTGGTACCCTGTCTGTGTGAATTGTGACAGTGTTTGCATGGTAGCAGACTTGTTCAAAGAGGGAAGGTTTTGGATTCAGTCTATAGTCATGTGAAACCAAAGTCTTTTACAATTAAAATTGTGTTTTTCAATAAGCACACATCATTTAAGAGTAGGAGCACAGCTTGGTCTGCTCAGAGTAAGAATATATCCTGGTGTGTTGCTTCTATGTTTTCTAGCAGACTGTTGCTATAAATAGTGAGCTAGGACATTTAAAGTCTAGATCAGTATGTCAGGGAGTACATTCATATATTTTATGACATTGAATATATGCATGTTATCTTTGCTGATGAACATAAACAATTAAACAATCAAATCACTTTTTAAGCATGCATGGACCTGGTTGCTGTACCATATATTCTATCATTTGGGGGCCTTTGTGGCCGAGTGGTCTAAGTAGTCAAACTACTGTATCACTAGCCTGTCAACACTGAGGTCGTGAGTTTGAATCCCACACGTGGCAGGTGTGCTTGACTCCAATCTTAATTGACTAGGATTGTCAGTTTCCTACCGAAGGTCGGTGGTTCTCTCTAGGCACTCTGGCTTCCTCCAACAATAATAAATGACCGCCACAAAATAGCACAATATTTCTATAAAGTGGCGTTAAACACCAATCAATCAATCAATTATATTCTATCATGACTATATATTTTGTCATAACCTTGACTAGAGTCATTGTCAAAGTTAAATAAGGTTGGCATGGAGATCATATTTACGCTCAAATGTTTTATTGCATTTAGTTTTCTGCTGCAAAAGTTTTATTGTTTATATCAGAATACAATGTTTAGTATTTCTTCTTTTTTTCTCTCAATTGGCTTCTTTTATGAGAACCAATACTTATCATTTATCATTGTGAAATGAAATAATTATATTTACTTTCTTATTTCAGTTCAAGAGGAGGGAGGATCCCAGTTGATACCTGATGATATGTCTTATGACACAATAGCCCAGTGTTGGTTCAGATATCTCCACGTATTAAACAATCCTGTAGACTTATGTCATCCAGATATCATTAGTAATACACCAAAGTTCCGACAACATACCATGCCAGGGAATGGTGTGGTAGACCCTATACAGCATGAATGTCTTAACAAACTGCCATATATCTTCTTCAGGGCAATGAGGGGTATATCCATAATGGTTAATGCATTTCTAGGTAAGGGTATGTCATATATTGCAGTTCAATGAAAATTCTGACCAAATTACAATCAAGTTACAGTAAACAAGAATTATGTAATTATCAATTGACAGTTCTTAGGTTTTGTAATGTATAAGCATTATTATTACTATTTAATTGTCTTCATAGAAAAAAAAAGAAGAAAATATTTGAATTGATGAGGTGGTACTAATTGGTTACGATAAAAACTTTAAAAAAGTATTTACATCAATAACTAAAAGGAGATATGGCCGGGGTACATTTCAATTAGACAGCAACCCAATAACACAAATAATCAAAATACATCTAGAAGTTTATAAACTGTCTTCAACAATAGACAGTTGTCTGTAGAATTTCTCAAGTCTAAATTGTCAGGAGTTTAAACAAATGTGAATAATTAATTAGAAACTATCAATGCAAGTTTGTATATATATTAACTTGATAAACAAAACTAAATAAAGAATCCTAGAAAATAACGAAAAAAACAAAATAAAGTTTCTTCTTTATAACATTTGTTATCTCCCCTTTTCAGGAATTGCTCAGTCTGTAAAAGCTGAAGATGAGCTTTATACAACACAAATAAGTCGACAAATATCAGGTCCTTCCACACCACCCGGACAAAGAAAGCCAGGTCGTCCTATATCATCTGTTATAGCAGGCACTTTACAGAAAGGTAAGAGACACCACCTGGACAAAGAGAGCCAAATCGTCCTTATCATCTGTTATAGCAGGCACTTTACAGAAAGGTAAGAGACACCACCTGGACAGAAAAATCCAGGTCTTCCTATATCATCTGTTATAGCAGGTACTTAACAGAAAGGTATAGAGACCACCTGGACAAAGAAAGCCAGGTCGTCCTATATCATCTGTTAAAGCAGGCACTTGACAGAAAGGTAAGAGACACCACCTGGACAAAGAAAGCCTAATCGTCCTATATCACCTGTTATAGCAGGCACTTTACAGAAAGGTAAGAGACACCACCCGGACAAAGAAAGTCAAATCGTCCTATATCATCTGTTATAGCAGGCACTTTACAGAAAGGTAAGATTATGAACACAAGCATGACAAGCATTTGTCTACTTGGACAGAGAACCAGACTGCTATACTGTGAAAGTATTATTGTTAGTTGGTTACCAATTATCTCAGATTTTGTGGTTCCCTACAAAAATGAAATATAGTATGCAATGAAATCTAGATGCTAAAAAATGAGCTATAAGTCAGTGAGACAGCAACCCAACAACATACAACCAAAAGACATCTAAAGGTCAATATACATAGTGGTAGGTACGCTCGATTCCAATCTTAATTGACTAGGATTGTCAGATTTCCTACCGAAGGTCGGTGGTTCTCTCTGGGCTGGCTTCATCCACCAACAAAAACTGACCGCCACGAAATAGCTCAATAGTGTGAAAGTGGCGTTATTCACCAAATAATCAATCAATCAATCAAATTTAGCTTGGACTTTGGATAAAGAATTGAATTAAACAGAGAATATTAAAGTTTTCCAGGCTAAATAGCATTGCCCATAAGATAGAAGAGATTTGATGTCATGCAAATAAAGAACATCAAGTTATCTCTTTATGTACAATATTGATTACAACAAGTATGTTTTCAACTGCTTTGACTTTCAGGCTGGCTAAAGGCCTTAGTAACATTATTTTAAATTTGAATTGTAAATATTACATTTCAATGCCCGCTGTTCAGATAAAGGAAGAAATTATTATGATGATTACAGGGTTTTAAGCTAGGATTCTGAGGGCTTTAGCGTTATACGAAACCAACCTTATAATGGTAACAGCATAAGTCTAGGGCAGTTGTTACATGGGCTTTATTACATGCAAAAAACATGTTTATGTGATCTTTCATTTTCTTTTTCATCATTTCAGTAGTATACAAATAAATTAAACAATAAAGAATAAAACAAAACAAACTGTTATGTTAATAAAGATGCATATCACATATAAAAAGTAGCTTTTTGACATCTAAAATAGCTACTATTGTTAACATAAAATAGCTACTACATGTAATTGCCTGAAAATAGAGCTGCAAGCATCTTTGATCCGAGACAAGTCCCTATAGGAATACACCTGAAAGATTGAAATAGTAAGAGTTAAGTTTCCTGTCCTTAGCCATATCAGCTGAGGGTCTGGATGTGGTTTACAGCAAGGCCGTAACTACCATTGAGGCAAGTGAGGCAATTGCCTCACTAAAATTTCAACACTGAATTTTTTTTTTTGGTGTATTTGTTTATGGTAATAAAATTTGAAATATAGTCATTTGTTTTTTCTGTCTCAACCTTAATTTCTTCTATAACTTGAGTCACATCGTTCCTTTTAAGTTGTTCTTCCCGGATATAACTCAGCATCTCACCGGGTTTCTCGATTACATTAACCTAGTAACGGTAATCATCATGGATCTCTGGTTAAAAACAGGCTCTTGCAGAAAAAGGAAAAACGATACTGAAGGTGAGGAAGGAATAGTTCTAGTAAACTAACTGCTGTGGTTTGTGATCACAACAGGTGTTAAGCAGGTATTAAGAGTTCGAGTATTGAATATATTTTCATTGGAACTAATCCAAAAACTATAAATAGACTGACAAATCAAGTACTGGGGCACCCGCATGGGAGCAGTCCTGTCTGCGTATTAATTTCCCTGTTTTCCCCAACTTTATTTGTTCTCTTTACAGATAAACAAAATATAAATAATATGAAACCTGCATGGATTAGTTTTTATCCATGTTTCTTTTACCTTAAAATTTTTAAGAACATCCCGTAATCCAATTTTGACATTATTGAGGGACGGTAGGAGCTTTAAAACGGGATTTCGTATTTTCTAATTCGTGACTATGGAATTTCGTGTCTACTAATTCAGGATTTCGGGTTCAGACCCCCTCCTACCCCCCTCATTATTGGATTCTCGATCTAAAATATCGACGAATGTTTGCTGTGAACATTCTTTTTCTGCCCTGAGATGACTGAACACATGGGAAAGAGCATGCATGAGTGGCGAGTGACTGTGCCGTCTGGTCTTGTCATGCTCCATGTTCATCGCAATAAGGATGTCAGCAGACCAAATATTCTGAAACGATTTGACGAAACCGGCCATAGAAAAATTGGCAAACTCCTATTTGAATAACAATTGCTACTGAGTCGATGTTTGTTCTCAAGATTGATATTTGGATGTTTATCTGACATATGAATTTAGATAAAGTTGTTAAAAATTTGGTGTTAGTACATGTCTTAAAATATGAAAAATATATAAAAAGTTTCCAAAAATAAAAACGATGTCAAGCTCTCTGTAAATGCCCAGAATGCAGGATTTTACACCATCTATCCCAGACCCCCTGCCAAAAGAATACAAAAAAAAAGTCCAAAAAATAAAGAATAGGGAGTTATAGGGGGTGCTTACATATAAAAATAGAAAATCATTGTCAAAATGAATTAAGATGAAGAAAAATGAAGACCCCCTCCAAAGACTTCCTTATCTATGCATCATGACTGAAAAGACCTTCATTTGTTTTTAACCTTAGAAAGATGGAGACAGATCTTACGTTGGTCTATCAGTATTGAGATTAATTTTAATTTGAGAAAAGGATTAATTTGAGTTATCTATCTCGGAACATAGGAGCTCCTACAGGTGGAGTTTTATAGTAGACACAGTACAGTAGAAACGAATACAAATGGTGTCGATTTTAAATCAGAACTGGACAGAAACACGTTTGATTTTAAAAATTATAACGGATTTCAAGATAATTGATGTTTTTAAATCTGAGTTACCGTGTTCGTCTTTCGATTAATTACTTTGGTATCATGAAACTATGGTAAAAGTGATCGTATGATAAATTGATTAAAATCTAAAATGCTGACTGACAACAAATTATGACACCTGTTGTGACCGTTGATTAGCTTTGGGTCGTAAACTTGTCATAAATAAGTCACCCGTTAAAGTTGTAGATTTTCTCAGAAATATCTATTTTTACTTTTACAAATTTAAGTGACGTAATTGATCAGAAAAACTTTTGTAATTTAGAAAATAGTTTCGTAGTTGACGAAAATGACGAGTGCTGGCAAATTACTGGTGATGAAAGCTTATTTTAAGCATTAAATGAAAATAGAAAAGATGTTGTAATTATTGAAAATACCCAATATACACAATTAAAAATAATTTTAATTTGGTGAATATAAAGTTGATGCTCTGTTAATAATTTATACATCTCAGCCTTTGTCTTCAGGAAATAGAATATCCTTAGTTTGATGAATCACCAAAAATTGTTATTTGTCGAATTTTTATACGACCGCAAAAAAATTTTGGTTTTAGCACTCTAACTTTAGTTTAAGTGAATGGATCTCTATGAAATTTTACCATAAGGTTCAATACCACACAAGGAAGGTTGGGATTGATTTTGGGGGTTATGGTACAAACAGTTAAGGAATAAGGGGCCAAAAAGGGGCCAAAAATAAGCATTTTTGTAACTTGCAGACATAACTTGTGTGTTAGTGTATGGATCTTTCTGACATTGTACCACAAGGTTCCATATCACAAAGGGAATGCTGGGATTGATTTTGGGGGTAATTGCCTCAAAATTTTAGGAATTAGGGGACAAAAAAGGGACAAAAAACAGGCATTTTTCTAGTTTCATGACAATTACTTGTGTGTAAATGTTTGGATCTGGAATTGAGTTTTGGGGTAATTGCCCAAAACGTTTAGGAATAAGGGGCCAAAAAGGGGCAAAAAATAAGCATTTTTCTAGTTTCCAGACAATAACTTGTGTTCAAGTGTATGGATCTCTCTAAAATTGTACTGCAAGGTACCATACCACAAAGGGAAGGCTGGGATTGATTTTGGGGGTAATTGCCTCAAAATTTTAGGAATTAGGGGCCAAAAAGGGGCAAAAAACAAGCATTTTTCTAGTTTTAGGACAATAACTTGTGTGTAAGTGTATGGATGTTTATGAAATTGTGCCACATGGTTCCATATCACAAAGGGAAAGCTGGGTTTGAGTTTGGGGGTAATTACTCAAAACGTTTAGGAAATTGGGGCCAAAAAGGGGCCCTAAAACAAGCATTTTTCTAGTTTCCAGACAATAACTTGTGTTCAAGTGTATGGATCTCTCTGAAATTGTACTGCAAGGTACCATACCACAAAGAGAAGGCTGGGATTGAGTTTGGGGTTGATGAATCATTAGGGGGTTCTAAAAATTTGGGGGAGGGATTTTTTTTTCCTTTTTTTCCTTTTTCTTTCTTTAAAATTTTCCATTTTAAATTGGTTATTTCTGATTTATATATAAAAGCAAATAATAACTATATGGTTTGAACAGGTAAATTAAAAAAAATTAAGTTCTTAGACCACATTCATTCTTTGTCAGAAACCTATGCTGTGTCAAATATTTAATCACAATCCAAATTCAGTGCTGTATCAAGCTTGAATGTTGTGTCCATACTTGCCCCAACTGTTCAGGGTTCGACCTCTGCGGTCGTATCAAGCTGGGAACAGCGGAGCATTTTATTAATGATTAGTTAATACAGTTGTGTAAAGATTTATGACTTTTTGATGTGTGTAATTAAATAAGATTTTTTTCAATTACAGGTTCAAAAATGGCAGCAACAGTAACTACTCCCAAATCATCAACCCTACCCCCAAACCTAAGTGGTCATGTGTCATTTGATGCTAGGCAACCGTTAGCTTCTTCAAGACCCAGATGTAATAGTATTCTTCATCTTTTTGGTGCTTGGTTATTTGATGCAGCTCTAGCCAGAGTGTCTCTTCATCCTTCTCACAAAGAAACTGCCGATAAAGGTGAAATTTGTAGTAATGAAAATTTATATATTTTAGTTTTTATGGTGAATAATGATATTATGATTAACCTTGATCAGTAGCTAAAAATAGTACAGTGAGCTTACCATAGGTAAACTTGTAACCTATATTTACAGACATACCATACAGAAACTGTATAATATTTTTTTCATATCTGTTAAATCAAACAAATGTTAAATCAGAGTACTCACAGCATATGAAAAATATATATATAGATATCACGAAAATTTAGAGTTGTCAAACTAGTTTCTTGAAATCTCAAACTTTCTACTTTTTAATCTCAATGCCTCCTTGTATTTTACAGCAAGGACTGAGAGCAGATCCAGTTCCTTCACAGATTCTCGTCATGCCTCCATATCGCTGGACTTCCCTGTCATGGGTCTGAATGGTGACAATACCTATGAAGCAGGAAGAGCTGAAGCTATAGGAGCATTATGTAGAATATTCTGTGCTCACAAAACAGGGGAGGCAATTCTACCTACATATTACTCCAGATTTTATATTGCTATGTATTATGGACTTCAAACTGGAGATGTATGTTTTGATATAACTGTTCAATTAATTAACATAATGAAATAATTGATTTTGATTAGCTCATGTGCTAGAAATTACACTTATTAACTTTTAATGTCCTTCTAATGAAAGAATTTTTTGATACAAATTTAAAGAAAATTAAGGAAATGTTGCAGCATTGTCATGATGAGAAAAAATAGGTTTACTTATACAGTTTTGCTTGTAAATAAGACCCTTTCTTTGATATGATATTACACAGAGACCTGATCAAATCAATATGGTAAGTCCAAAATGTTGACAGTTTACATTACTTTTTCCAAGCCAGATATTTTTATATTTGCATGGATGTATAGTTGTTTCTTTTTTATCATATTTCATGATTAATAGATGTTTTTGAGTCTTCAAATTTTGTCTTCAACAACCGTTGTTGAGTGGCAGGTCTAAAGACAATACAAAAAAAGGTATGATTGCCAATGAGACTACTATCAACCCAGAGATGCAATGACATGGATTTAACTATCTGAGTTCCTAAATTTAAATTCCAGTATATACATGAGCAATTAACACAATTCTTTGTCATTTTATTGTAGACGATGAGTGGACAGGTGTTATCCAGTATTTTTTTTAATTCCTGTGATCTTCTCAGAGTAAATCTTGATGGTGTACAGCTCTTAGTGCCATATATACTGACATCTATTCAACTTATACTGTCTGAAAATAGTTTACCATTCAAGTAAGTAAAGCAGCTGTAATAAGTAAACCTTAAAATAGACTTTCTTATATATGTGAAAACTTTTTCATGCTTGATTTCTCTATTTTAAATATAATGTAGATAGAATGATAGCGTTAAAGAGATCCTGCATCTACCTTTTACTGTCTGTATTTTAATTGTTATCTGTATTCCACTTTTTATTTAAATTTTGGAACAGTAGAATTACGAAGTGCCTGTATTCATCTGTGAGATCTGTAGAATAACCGAGATCTTATATCCATTTGTTTACTGTATTTCCGATTGACAGGATTTTGTATCCAGCTTATACAGACAACCCAATGATTTACAGAGATTTTTAATTCACTTGTTATCTATATTTCAGGTTAAATGATGACAGGACAATAGAATTACGGAGATCCTGTATCCACCTTTTGTTATCTATGTTGTGTTTACCTTTACATTTTAAAGACCTAAAGATTAAAGGTAAAGCATATTTCATGACTTTTATTTTTGTTAAAAGAAAAAAAATCATTTAATGTAAAGAAACATTACTTTAATAAGTATCACACTTTTTTGTAACATTGAACATTGAAGTCACAAAAGTGTCCATGTCATCATTCAAATTGTCGTCTGATATCACTTTTTTGAGTATGACACATAAAAATATCTTGACAGAATTCAATCAAACTTGCACAAATTCAAGACATACTTACTTAAATTCTGATCCTAGTGATCTTTAAGGTATGCTGTACGAAAATATTGATTTTGCCATTTTCACTTATATAATTTGTAGATGGTAGACGACAAATTTGTTTTTGGAGGCTCACTCATTTTTAGCTCACCTGGGCCCGAAGGGCCCCATGTGAGCTTATGCCATCACTTGGCGTCCGTCGTTGTCCGTTGTCTGTTGTCGTCGTAAACTATTTCAAAAATCTTCTCCTCTGAAACTACTGGGCCAAATACCTTCAAACTTTAACTAAATGTTCCTTAGGGTATCTAGTTTATAAATTGTATCCGAAGTTTTGATCCATCGACAAACATGGCCGCCATGGCTAAAAATAGAACATAGGGGTCAAATGCAGTTTTTGGCTTATATCTCAAAAACTAAAGCTTTTAGAGCAAATCAGTCGTGGGGTAAAATTGTTCAATTGGTCAAGATCTATCAGCTCTGAAATTTTCAGACGAATCGAACAACCCATTGTTGGGTTGCTGCCACCGAATTGGTAGTTTTAACAAAATTTTGCAGTTTTTTGTTATTATTTTGAATATTATTATAGATATATATAAACTGTAAGCAGCAATAATGTTCAGCAAAGTAAGATCTTCAAAAAAGTTAATATGACCATAATTGTCAATTGACCCCTTAAGGAGTTATTGCCCTTTAAAGACAATTTTACACAATTTGTTCATCAAGTTTGCTAACATTTAAAAATCTTCTCCTCTGAAACTACTGGGCCAATTACCTTCAAACTTTAACTTAATGTTCCTTAGGGTATCTTGTTTATAAATTGTATCGGAAGTTTGTATCCATCGACAAACATGGCAGCCATGGCTAAAAATAGAACATAAGGGTCAAATGCAGTTTTTGGCTTATATCTCAAAAACTAAAGCTTTTAGAGCAAATGTGACATGGGGTAAAATTGTTTAATTGGTCAAGATCTATCGGCCCTGAAATTATCAGACGAATCAAACAACCCACTGTTGGGTTGCTGCCACCAAATTGGTAGTTTTAACAAAATTTTGCAGTTTTTTGTCGAGCCTGCGACTTTTGTCGCAGAAAGCTCGACATAGGGATAGTGATTCGGCGGCGGCGGCGGCTACGGCAGCGGCAGTGGCGGCGTTAGCTAACTTCTTAAAAGCTTTATATTTTGGAAGGTGGAAGACCTGGATGCTTCATACTTTGTATATGGGTGCCTCATGTTACGAAGTTTCCGTCAGTCACATGTCCAATGTCCTTGACCTCATTTTCATGGTTCAGTGACTACTTGAAAAAAAAGTTAAGATTTTTTGTAATGTTAAAATCTCTCTTATTATAAGTAATAGGATAACTATATTTGGTATGTGCGTACCTTGCAAGGTCCTCATGCCCGTCAGACAGTTTTCACTTGACCTCGACCTCATTTCATGGATCAGTGAACAAGGTTAAGTTTTGGTGGTCAAGTCCATATCTCAGATACTATAAGCAATAGGTCTAGTATATTCGGTGTATGGAAGGACTGTTAGGTGTACATGTCCAACTGGCAGGTGTCATCTGACCTTGACCTCATTTTCATGGTTCATTGGTTATAGTTAAGTTTTTGTGTTTTGGTCTGTTTTTCTTATACTGTATGCAATAGGTCTACTATATTTGTTGTATGGAATGATTGTAAGGTGAACATGTCTAGCGGGCAGGTGTCATCTGACCTTGACCTCATTTTCATGGTTCAGTGGTCAAAGTTAAGTTTTTGAGTTTTGGTCTTTTTTTCTAATACTATATGCAATAGTTCAACTATATTTGGTGCATGGAAATATTTTATGATCTATTTGTCAGTCACGCAGGTTTTATTTGACCTTGACCTCATTTTCAAGGTTCATTGCTCAGTGTTAAGTTTTTGTGTTTTGGTCTGTTTTTGTCGAGCCTGCGACTTTTGTCGCAGAAAGCTCGACATAGGGATAGCGATCCGGCGGCGGCGGCTACGGCGGCGGCGGTGGCGGCGTTAGCTAACTTCTTAAAAGCTTTATATTTTAGAAGGTGGAAGACCTGGATGCTTCATACTTTGTATATGGATGCCTCATGTTACGAAGTTTCCGTCAGTCACATGTCCAATTTCCTTGACCTCATTTTCATGGTTCAGTGACTACTTGAAAAAAAAGTTCAGATTATTTGTAATGTTAAATTCTCTCTTATTATAAGTAATAGGATAACTATATTTAGTATGTGCGTACCTTGCAAGGTCCTCATGCCTGTCAGACAGTTTTCACTTGACCTCGACCTCATTTCATGGATCAGTGAACAAGGTTAAGTTTTGGTGGTCAAGTCCATATCTCAGATACTATAAGCAATAGGTCTAGTATATTTGGTGTATGGAATGATTGTAAGGTGTACATGTCCAACTGGCAGGTGTCGTCTGACCTTGACCTCATTTTCATGGTTCATTGGTTATAGTTAAGTTTTTGTGTTTTGGTCTGTTTTTCTTATACTGTATGCAATAGGTCTATTATATTTGGTGTATGGAATGATTGTAAGGTGTACATGTCCAACTGGCAGGTGTCATCTGACCTTGACCTCATTTTCATGGTTCAGTGGTTATAGTTAAGTTTTTGTGTTTTGGTCCGTTTTTCTTATACTTTATCCAATAGGTCTACTATATTTGGTGTATGGAATGATTGTAAGGTGTACATGTCCAACTGGCAGGTGTCATCTGACCTTGACCTCATTTTCATGGTTCAGTGGTTATAGTTAAGTTTTTGTGTTTTGGTCCGTTTTTCTTATACTTTATCCAATAGGTCTACTATATTTGGTGTATGGAATGATTGTAAGGTGTACATGTCCAACTGCCAGGTGTCATCTGACTTTGACCTCATTTTCATGGTTCAGTGGTCAAAGTTAAGTTTTTGAGTTTTGGTCTTTTTTCTTATACTATTATGCAATAAGTCAACTATATTTGGTGTATGGAAATATTCTATGATGTACATGTCAGTCTCGCAGGTTTTATTTGACCTTGACCTCATTTTCACAGTTCATTGCTCAGTGTTAAGTTTATGTGTTTCAGTCTGTTTTTCTTAAACTATAAGCAATAGGTCAGCTATATTTGTTGTATGGAAGGATTGTAAGCTGTTCATGTCTGCCTGGCATGGTTCATCTGACTTTGACCTCATTTTCACGATTCATTGGTCAATGTTTAGTTTTCTTGGTTAAGTCTGTTTCTTAGAAACTATAAGCAATAGGTCAACTATATTTAGTGTATTGAATGATTGTAAGGTGTACATGTATTTCTTGTTTGGTTTATATGACCTTGACTTCATTTTCTTGGATCATGTTAAGTTTATGTAATAGTTGTAGTAAAGCTTTCATTTAGGACTATCAACATAATATCAATGGTTAGTAAAGAAGGCGAGACATTTCAGTGTGTCCACTCTTGTTCTTAAACTATAAGCAATAGGTCAACTATATTTGTTGTATGGAAGAATTGTTAGCTGTACATGCCTGCCTAGCATGGTTCATCTGACCTTGACCTCATTTTCATGGTTCATTGGTCAATGTTTAGTTTACTTGGTTAATGTTAAGTTTATGTGACAGTTGTAATAAAGCTTTATATTTAGGACTATCAACATAATATCAATGATTAGTAAAGAAGGCGAGACATTTCAGCGTGTGCACTCTTGTTGTTGTTATTTTAAATATTATTATGGATATATATAAACTGTAAGCAGCAATAATGTTCAGCAAAGTAAGATCTACAAAAAAGTTGATATGACCATAATTGTCAATTGACCCCTTAAGGAGTTATTGCCCTTTAAAGACAATTTTACACAATTTGTTCATCAAGTTTGCTAACATTTAAAAATCTTCTCCTCTGAAATACAGGTGAGCGATTCAGGCTCTTGAGAGCCTCTTGTTTGGTAATAGGGGATATGTGAAGAATTTCAGGAACACTGAAAACCAATAATCAGTTTACCAAGGATGTTAAGCAACCAACAATCAATCAATCAGTTTACCAAAGTAGATATCTAGTTATAAATATAATTATTTTTGGGTTTTGCATAAATTGGACATAAAGTAGAATGAGACATACGCTGTTTGTCAGCTCTTAATCATCTAAAGTCTGGAATTCTTTCATTAGTTTACATTTTTTAATTATTATAATATAACAGGTGTTTTAAATGTCTATTTATAGATTTTGTACCAGCAGACAATGTCAACCAAGTAACAACATTCATTTCACTGCGGAAAAGGATTACAGAATTACTACTGAGAGCTTTGTTGATAGAGACTGATCCTACAAATACTCAGATGTTATTAGGTAAGATCAAAACAGCATTTAAGTTAATCCTTAAGAATGTTCACTGGTTGTGTCAGGTATCTTCTTGTCATATTTTAAGCTCTTCTGGCTTTTTAGCTTAAATTGCAGTGAGAAAAATATTTGAGAAGTAACCTCTACTTTAATTTCATAATTTCATGAAGTACAGCTTAAACAAACTCTGCAAGATCTGGTTTAGTCCTTAAATTTTTTTATAAGATTTTCACAGGGAAAACTTAAATAAAAAAAGTTTTAACAAAAATTCCAAACTCCAAGACAATGGGAAGTCCATAAAAACTGACAAAATCAAACTCTATTAAACACTATCTGTCAAATTCTATCTATATATGTGTAGAAATATAAAGAGCATATGTTTCCCTACATATTTTCAAATGGTTTTATCTTAAAAAGAGGCAGACAGATGTTTATCTTTTTTCTGTCATAATATTTCTTATTTATCAAACGTCTTTCAACATATAGCTACATTTTACTTTGTTGCATGTATTTTGAAACACATCAGTGAACTTTCATAAGTATAACACTTTTATTTAAAATGATATTTGAACAATTCACCATTTCAGAATCTAATGCATTCTGGGTAATACTTTCAAAAGGGTAAAGTAATTATCTTTTATGGGTATGAACAATGAGATTACCCATAATCCTTTAGATTCTGAAACCACGAATTGTTATAATGTTTAGATACCATTTAGTTTGAGCTAATTTTCTGTCATTTTGTTTTCAAATTTGGTACAGTTAATGGCTTATACATGATACCAATTCCTTTATGACTTTTAGGTTGTCCAAAATCCTAAATGATTACAAAATCTGAGGAATATTGCATTATTTAAAAAAAGTAAATAAATTTTGCTTTGTCATTGAGTCATAATTGTGTAGTTTTAACACTGTCATTTGTCGTGACCAGGTGGATTAATGTTAGCTGTTCAGGACCAAGCGATGTTTGAAGAAGCAGAACAGAACACTTTACAGCCTCAACATGATACAAGTACAGACTCAGAGGCACATGCAGGTAATAAAGCAATGTATATGTTTAAATTTATTTGATGAGGCTACAGTGTAAATATTGGGGACCATGAAAACACAAAATATCATATCAAATGATTGCCTAAACCTGTAAAACCGATAAGTGGCATTCATTAATTTCAGTTCTTTCATGGTATTGTTAGCCATTTTTAATGACTCAAAATGTTTCTGATTGTTAGAAAAAAGTTTTTTAGACTATATTGATGTGCTACTTAAGGAATGACTGTAATATTTTTTCTGTCTATGAAGAAATAACATCAAAAATGTGGTTCACACTGAATAACCCGCGTAGCGGGTTATTTTAAAGTGTGCACCACATTTTTTATGTTATTTCGAATAGACAGAAAAAATATTACAGTCATTCCTTATAATTTAATTCTAAATTTCATTATAAACCGGAGTAAATCATGAAAAAACGTTGACGACGTAACGGTCACATGACAAAATTATGTCTATGAGCTGATAAACAAAACAACGTCAGCCAATCAGAAGACGCGTTACATCCAAAATTAAATTATTTCAGTATAAACTATATTGATGTGCTACTTCAGTATACATGAGCAAATTTAAATGAGACAGGTTGTAAACATGATCTGAAGCCAGTTGTACGAACATGGCATTAGCCTAATGGGCCATTAAGTCTTCATTAAGCATTTACAATGCATTAGGCTAATGAAGACTTAATGACTCATTAGACTAATGACACGTTTGTACAACCGGCTGCTGGATATCACTGTATGCTGTATACAATAAAAAGGCTTTTATAACCATAAAAATTCTTCTTATTCATCTTAAAGTTTACAATTGATAAAATAATTCAAGTCTATGTGTCATGTAATTGGGTGAAAGCACGATTAATAAGAAGAAACAGAAACAGCAGCAAGATCCCAGAGTTTTATGTATGAAGGTTTAAACGTCATTTTCATCTTTATTAGATACAAGCCATACAAGTGTAGGGACTACATCCTCAGACTCAAGCTATCAAGAATCAGCCTATCAGAGACTGCCTCAGGCATCACATGATGTTGGTAAGTAATCAGCCAATCACAAACTGCCTCAGGTGTCACATTATGCTGGTAAGAAATTAGCAAATCATAAACTGGCTCTAGTATCACATGATAATGGTAAGTAATCAGCCAATCACAAACCACCTTCAGGCATCACATGATGATTGTTAGTAATCAGCCAATCACAGACTGCCTCAGGCATCACATGATGTTGGTAAGTAGTCAGCCAATCACAAACTGCCTCAGGCATTGCATGATATTGTTAGGTAATCAGCCTATCACAGAATACCTCAGGCATCCTATGATGTTGGTAAGTAATCAGCCTATCACAGACTGCCTCAGGCATCACATGATGTTGGTAAGTAGTCAGCCAATCACAAACTGCCTCAGGCATTGCATGATATTGTTAGGTAATCAGCCTATCACAGAATACCTCAGGCATCACATGATGTTGGTAAGTAATCAGCCTATCATAGACTGCCTTTGGCATCCCATGATGTTGGTAGGTAATCAGTCTATCACAGACTGCCTCGGACATCACATGATAATGGTAACTAATCAGCCTATCACAAACTGCCTCAGGCATCCCATGATGTTGGTAAGTAACCAGCCTATCACAGAATGCCCCAGGCATCACATGATGTTAGTAAGTAATCAGCCTATCACAAACTGCCTCAGGCATCCCATGATGATGGTAAGTATTCAGCCTATCACAGACTGCCTCAGGCATCACACGATACTGGTTAGTAAGTAGCCAATCATGTTAAATATTTTGGTTAAATTTTGCACTTGTGTGCAAGTGGTAGTTTTACAATATTATCCTTTAAAGGCTGAGTATCTTGTTATCTTTAGACATATTCTCTACCTATATTTGTAAAATTTGGATATTTTTAAATACTTGATAATTTTGAGTTTCTTAACACCACAATTGCACACAATAAGTATATCATGGTTAAACTATGAATGATCACAGTAATATAAAACAGAAAAAATTAACACAATGACTTGATGTTGATTACAGAATCTGCCTATGGACTGTTTGGACAAGCAACATCAGAGGTCTGTACCCGGTTGATGGTCAATTGGAAGACAGATTTGAACACAGCATTAGCAGCCATGGAATTACTAAGTGGTCTGGCAAAGGTTCAGATAAAACCACCCAATCTACTGATGTGTAAACGCACAGTCAAATGGATCTGTGACTTTATTGTGTTCCAGTGTAATCGTCCCTCACAGCACCATACTAGAGATCTACACTCCATGATTGTAGCAGCCTTTAAGTGTTTGACACTATGGTTGGTGGAGCACAGTAGACTGTTGTATGACAAAGAATGTTTACATAATGTCCTAGAAGTGGTAGAACTTGGTATATCTGGGTCAAAATCACAGGTAAGGAAAAAACTAGCTTCTCAGACACATCTGTTATTTTAAATACTCAGTTTCAGAAATTAACAGGGCAATTGGTAATTTACTTTTGAGTACTCCAGAGAAAATAACATCACTACAATGAGTGAAATCATTTGGGTAGTTTTCAATCAGCACAGCAATCAGTGACATGTTAAAAAATGTTAATTAGTGATGATCTATTGTTTGTTGTTATAAGCCGAACTCTGAATTCTGTCTATTTTAGTTTGTAGGACATGTATTTATTTGAAATTGATTACCTGTCAGTCAATTAATTTTATGAAGTTTACATCTTTAAAAGTATATCACAGTGATTTTTTCGCTTGTATTTTCCAATTTAGGGAAAATTATACACAGTGAACTTTTAATCTGCCCATTTTGTCTGATGTGAAAAAACTTACACTAACTTCCATAAACTATTAAAGTTTTAAAAAATACACCTTGACAGGGCTGTTTATTGGGGTTCCTGGCTCAACTCCTTTACACTGGTTAATTAAGGGTTGAAAAAATGAGGCAAGCACCCAAACTCTAATCAATTTCAAATTCCAACTGATCTAAGACTCTTAGATCAAAGATGTTTTCTAATTTAAGAGAAACCTTAAAATTGCTCACATGGATGGTGGGTCTCACATGAGAGTGGCTTATCTCAGAGTAATGAAAGGTAAATGATATTTTGCTGATGTACACCTTACCTTTGCAAAAATCAGATATGAGAATTAAGTAAGATTAAAACTTATAGTTGCAGATATTTTTAGAATGTTTGGTACCTGATAGAAATAATCATAAGGTAAAAACTTCATATGTATTGGAATATTTATAATTATTACCCTATTGATTTTACCTGACCAAAAGTAGCTTCAATGGTTTCATAACTTAAGTAGGTTCTATTTTTAGAAAAGGTAATCTGTTAGTTATTATTCTCAATTCACAGTACAATTTTATGATGATGTTAATGAAATGATATGAAATCAATATTTACCTTTTCTTAAAATAAAATCTTCTAAAATATAAAGCCATTTAAACCATATCCAGTCATGTCAAACGAATGAAATGATACAAGGGGAAACACCATATGTTATGTATATATAAACAAATTTTAGCATATTTATATAAATTAAAATATTTTGATACTGTAAATTCAGAAATTATTGCATGGTTTTTATTAATGTGAATAATGCGACTCCTTGAGTATTGCAAAAATAAGAACTCGCATTCTGATATCTGATAGGTATATCTATATGAAGCTTTTCCTAAAATCGCAATAATTAAACTCCCATTTATGTTCATTCTTCAAAAAACGCAATAATAAATGCACGCAATAATTCATGAATTTACAGTAGAATCAGGAATATTGTACAACTGTATAACTGCATTTCAGATAAAAGCAACCGAGGCATATTCTGTGACATTAAAGGACTCAAAATCTGTATCATTAAATAAGGTATCAGCGTGATGCTTGTCAATAGCTGCTACTAACCACACGATTAGATGAAACATTATCACTATGTTTCCACACTGACATTAACAAAATCACTTTAATGAATTTTTTTTATTTTCAAATTTATTAATATTTAGAAAATTTGCTTAGTATGAATATTATGCTTTAGTTTGAGGGATTTTATTCCCAATAGTTATTCAGTATTTAAATAACATCCATTCTTATAGGGCTACAGATGACAGAATCTGTAGGAACTGTATGAATCACCAGTTGTTTTATGTAATTTATTAATTATTCTTTATATCTCCTAGCATTTCATGGAATTTTTCATGAATGACATATAACCTATCTTCCTTGAAGTTAATTATAAATTATATTAAATTATTACAGAGACAAAATGTAGTTATAAGACAAAGCGTCACATTTTTAATAAGATCATTGAACTTTAATCAAGAAATTGTCAGTGTGGAGAAGAAATAATTCTTTCACTATTAAAATATCCAAAATCCTGTTTGAAATTGCAAGCAACAGTTTTTCCCCAGCTTAATATGCTTAACCCAAAAGCTATACAGATATAGTCATTTTTTCCAATGCAGTTGATGAAGCATTTTAGAAGTATGAAATTGATAGCATGGTAAATTATTGCCTTACAATATAGTGAATGTTGCCTGTTTACAGCTTACAGTTTACTGATTACAGAACAGTGTAAAACTAGTTATAGCGAGTGAATTATTTACACAGCCTTCAGGAGTAGAAAAAAATGCAAAAATGTCAAACTTTGGTTTTCTCCTGCATGAATACCTTAAAAAACAAAAATGCTATGAACTGCTGTAAAGTCGTCCAGAAAGTTTTTTTTTTAGATTTTGTTGAGCATGCGACATTTATGTCAGATTTGTCCAGATGTTATGGACTGACACCATTTGAAAATTGTTTGCTTTTGGTATAAATAAAGGACAGAATAATTTTACCTTGGTCACAGACAATTTTTTTGATATCAACATCTTTTGTTTTTATGCCCCCGCTGTAGCGGAGGGGGCATTAAGTTTTACCCTTGTCTGTCTGTACATCCGTATGTACGTCCCGTCTGTACATCCCAAAATTGTTTTCCGTTCTCTTAACTTTAGTTTGCATCAACCAAATGTTATGTAACTTATACACTATGCTTATTACCACAAAACAAAGATCAAGTTTGAATTTTGGTGGCGTCACTTTTACTGTTCTAGAGTTATGCCCCTTTACAAATGGAAAAATTGCTGAATTTTTCGTTTCTGTTCTCTAACTTTAGTTTGCCTCAACCAAATGTTATGAAACTTATACACAATGCTCATTACCACAAAACACAGATCCAGGTTTAATTTTGGTGGGTCATTTTTACCGTTCTAGAGTTAAGCCCCTTTACAAATGGAAAAATTTGCTGAATTTTTCATTTCCGTTCTCTAACTTTAGTTTGCTTCAACCAAATGATATTAAACTTATACACAATGCTCATTACCACAAAACACAGATCAAGTTTGAATTTTGGTGGGTCATTTTTACCGTTCTAGAGTTAAGCCCCTTTACAAGTGGAAAAATTGAGGAATTTTTCGTTTCCATTCTCTTACTTAAGTTTGCCTCAACTAAATGTTATGAAACATATACACAATGCCTATTACCACAAAACTCAGATCAAGTACAAATTTGGGTAGCATCACTTTTACAGTTCTTGAGTTATGTCCCTTTATAATGTTATATGCAAGCGGGGGCATCATCTGTGTCCCATGAACACATTTCCCATTTATTTTACATAGCCCTATTGATAAAAACTGTATAGAATTGATCAAATGTCAGCAACTAGGTATCTGGGAAGCTTGTTTCTGTGGTACTTAAAGTAGGATTGGTTAGTATGGAGATGTACAATTGTTTTAATGGTATTATGTCAGAACAAAGGACGATAATTGTACTGATAGTTTATTCGGATGATGTGTTTTCTCAGTATTAATATTGGATGTTTCATACCCTCAGAGATTATTTTCCCCCATTCAGTTTGTTCACATCTTGAGGGAAACTCTCAAAAGGAGCCTTATTTCCTTGAAAAAGTTAGCCTCCCTCAAAGAAGTCGAAAACCTACCCTTAAACAATCTTTTCCTACGCAGATATGTACTTTTTTTCCATAACCTCATGAGAATTAGAATTTGATTATTGAAGACAACACATTCAATGAACTTTGTTTTAACTTCAGTCAAAACGACAGAATTTTTGTTTTCAGATATTGATCCAAAATTTTCCCATATTTTCTCTTCAATGATAACATATTTAAAGAAACCTTTTGACAGCAATGAGTCTTACTATCAGAATTATAATTACCAAGGCCCTTTAAATAGTAAGAAACACATTGGAATAATTTATAATGAATGATTGTAACAATTTCTTACTAACTGTAAAAGCACAAGCATTTTTGTTGCATATTAATTGAAATTATATCAAGTCACGCTTTATCTTAACCCAGACTTCAGTAGGGTCATTGGTGTGGGCAAATTTTTTTCATATTACTTGATACAATTTCAGTTCTCTTCGTCAAATTTAGTACAGAAAAAGATTGAATACCATATGGATTCATATCAAATAAACTCTTTTAAGAAAAATATTACAAGTTTTCACATAGAAATGATGATTCAAAATCATTTTCACATTGACTTATCACTTAATTATTGATTTATTTTGAGCAAATTTTTTCATAAAAAATTTCTTGTTACTGTGGGAATATTTACTTGAATATATCTAAAATACAAGGATATTTTTTGTAATATTATAAAAATTTATCAGTGACAAATATTGAAATTCAAATGAGCAAAAAAAATACTCTTTGACAATAAGAAGTCTAGTTAGGACCGTGTCCTTTTATAGGTTCATAATAAATTTTCTAAAAAATGGAGAAAAAAAATTAATTGCAATTTCTTGAAATCTGGTTTTTACTATGACTTCTAAAATGTAAAATGGACTAGTAACCATTTTACAGTGTTGTAATATTTTAAGAAATGAAAGTCTTGAATTTGAAAGTACGATGTAAGTTATTGCCCTGAGATTAATTTCTTGGTGTACTGTAATTGCAGAATCGTGCCAGTGATGTACCAAAATTCAAAGGAGATAAGGAGTTAATGCCAGCATCAATGAGAGTAAAGGAGGCTGCTGAGGGTGTACTCACTGTCATAATTCAACATGTGGTAGGCACATTTTGTATGTTTGTAGGTTTAATAATTCCATAAACGAATTTTACAATAAATTACCATTTTCAATGACTATTTATACAATGAAATTACAATACAATAGGTGTGTATATCTGTTTTTAAATAATAATAGTTACACAAGATTTTGAGAAAAAATATATTGACACTGTGTGGTGAAAATTACAGGCATATTCGGACAAGATCCATTTTAAATTACTAAATAAAATTTTAGTACCTGGGAAGTAAAAGTTTGTGATTTAGCCAAATTACAATGTATTCTGATTTGAAATTAGAAATCTTAATATATTTGGTAGAAAGATATAGATAATTCTTTTATCTGATATGATAAATAAATCAGTTAGTTTGATTTGAAATTAGAAATCTGCAAGAACTTAATATAATATATTTATTTGGTAGATATGATATGATAAAAAAAATCAGTTTTATTGTCTGTTTTGAATGTTTATGAATGACTGCTGTAAACAAAGATAAATTTCAGACAATATGTAATACAATTATAATTTTAATTTAACTGATGTTTTTTTTGTAGGGAGCTTTTCCTCCACCATGTGGCCCAGAATCTTTGTTTTCATTATTGGATGAGAAATCCTTACTGAAGTACTGTAAAGGCAATTCTTTACCAGAGGCTGGATCTCCATTTAAATACTTTGTATTGGATAACTCAATTATAGTTGGGTTACTAGAACAGCCATTAGGAAATAATGAAGGTATCAGTTTAGGGAATAGCGCCAAGTTTCATGTGTCTAATGTGAGAGTTTCACACACTAAGGGAGATAATACAACAAATCAGTTGAACGATAAAAAAAAAAACATATATAAGTAAACTTACTTTTAGAATGATTTAATTTAATTTCCTAGCGAGCAACACCAACAAAACTGTCCATTTCGACCTCCGGCGTTGTTCAAAATACAACTGACGTTGCAATTTCAATTGTGACGTCAATCACATGCAGCCCATATTTTATTGTAATTAGAACATGGCCTTGCTTCCAAAGCGAAAGAAGGACATCATATTAGAATTTGTCTTAAATTGTGAAAAAGGATTTTAGATTTCAATGTCCTGTGAAATTTTACTCAGTTATCACTTAAAGTAAATAAATCCAGTTGTTTGCATAGGCTGACAAGTGTCCTCATCTTTCTTTGAGGATTTCCTTTACATCCAATCTGGTTTGACCCCATAGCATAAACAGCCTAATTAAGAAATTTGTTCTGGTAAATATGCAATTAACCAAAAACCATTGTATATGCTTCAATCAATCATAGATTTGATTTTTGCAAATATGAGTAATGATGTCATTTGTCAATACATAGTGATTTTTTTCAGCTTCAAAGTAATTTAAATTTTACAAAGAATATTTAATTTTTATGCCCCGCCGTAGCGGATTGGACATAAAGTTTTACCCTTGTCCGTCCCAAAATTGGTTTCCGTTCTCTTACTTTATTTTTTTTTAGATCCATTACCAACAGTTACAGCTTTAATAAGAGGACCATTTGGAAGACATGCATGGACCATGCAATTACGACATTCACCGAGAAATAATAAAGTAAGCTGACACTCGCTCATTTCTAAAAGTATCAAATTACCTCATCAGAATAACCACCTCTGAAATGGGATCACCAATTTTGTGAAAAGGGCTGAAATGTTCTTAAGAAACTAAAGAACTATAACCTTCAATATTAGTGAAGAAATATGTACAGTGGTAGGGTCAGCTTAATGTGAAATTTTCTCAATATTGTGGTCAAATACATGTATTTTTGTGAAAAGGATAAATGAAAGCAACATAAAAATTTTTCTCAATATGTCAAATACATGTATCTTTGTGAAAAGGATAAATGAAAGCAACATAAAATTTAGACATATCTATTTCTAAACGGTGGTAATATGACAGAGTACAATGGGAAAAAAGTAAGGGTTAGCACAATTTTTATGCAGAAATTTTAACTTATAACATTTGTTTAGAGATTTTAAACACATAGTAGTTTTTGTTCAGATGGAAGAGCAATCAACTGTAATGTAAAACTTTTTACAGATAAATTCTCGATCAAGATCACGTTTGACAGACCCAGGTCGACCATTACCTATGGAGAATGTTGGTATTCATCACAATATAAAACACAGATACTTCCCAGAATCAGCTGATAAGATACCACCCTCCAAAGCGTAAGTTGTTAGAACAATAGTTTAAAATCATTGTCCTTTTAGAACTAGGAATATCTAGAATGATCCTTCAAATACTTGGCAATGGCTTATAGGTCTCTTTAAAGGTGGTCAATATTTACCTGAGTGTGAAGATGGCTGGTCACGTCAACCACTTTGGTTGAAGTTCAAGACTAGCTTCAATCGTAAGCAAAAATGGCAAGGTACAATTGATTTAATGTTATTGATAAAGTTTTCTTAAAATTAAAAAAAAAAACCTGTTTAACCCATCATCTGTAGTTCTTTGAATTTTTCTGCAAGCTGGTAATAATTTTTTTTTTTTTTCTCAACATTATAGTAAAAAACAATGGTAAGTCCAAAAAGTCTGTCAGCATATTTATATTTTTTATTCTAAGGAACTTTTAAGGTATTTTATTTCTTGGAAACTCCAGATTAACATGTAGAGCAAAAAAAAAGAAGCTTTATATTGATTAAAAAATAAAATAAAGTAAAGACTTTGGAGAGGAAGTGAGTCTATGAAATAGCAAATTAATATGACATTTCTTAAAATATGGAAATGAATACATTTGTACATCAAAATATTAAATAGTGATCAATTTATTTCATTATTTTGTTTGTTTCAGAGATAAAAGTATACCCACATTAGAATCTCTTGTGAAAGACAACGATCGTACAGATCTGAACAAACTGAAATCATTTATTGACAAAGCTGTACAGTTTGAAAATGAAATCAGTAGGAGGAGTAAACTCAACATGAAACAATCACCATTTCCTAGCCAGGATATTGAATGTAAAACTCCAAGGTATGGCTCTAACTTTGAAATAATTTCCCAACTAGGATATTGATTGAAAAACTGCAACTATGAGACTACAATAAACATGAAAGAGGGTATAGATGGGAGGGTTGTTATTTCTGTATTCTTTAATTGACTATTTTCATATTACCGACTTTTGACTCCGGATTATATAATTTGTCGACTGGTTACCTTGGACATCATGGTACTTGGTCAAGTAAGAGCAACCAAAATAAGTAAAATCAAACATATAATCGGTGTAATTTGAGGGGAAAGTTTACTGTTTTCTGATGATTTTGTAGTGAAAAAAAAATATTAACCAGGTAATTTTCCCCCAAAATTGTACCGATTGAAAGCTTGGTTTTACTTCTTTAGCTTGCTCTTACCTGACTTGGTACCATGATGTCCAAGGTAACCAGTCAACAAATTATATAATCCGGAGTCAAAAGTCGGTAATATGAAAATAGTCTATTGTTCGTGCCATTTTTCTCGATTCTTTTTTTTTTAGTCTGATTATTCTCTATCATTTATAATTTAGTACCCAGTTAGACTTTAATCTTTTTTAGCCCCCTACCGACGAATTCAAAGGGGACTTTAGGTTTGCACTCCGTCCGTCTGTCCATCCGTCAGTCCGGCAAATCAGCTTTCCACACTTTTTTTCTTCGTTCTTGAAGATATTGATTTGATATTTGGTATATAGTTTTATCATGACAAGTTATAGATCAAGTTCGAATTTTGTTTCGGTCTGATGATTAAACCAGAGTTATGGACCATAACTCTGGACCATATCTAATGTTAGAGTACTATGTTAAACCATATTTCTGTACAAAGGGAGATAACTCAATTTTTTAAAAGACATTCTTTGTTAAATTATTTGAAGAATTTTTTGGCAGGTTTGTTTGTTATTTAGTATAAACTAATTTTCTGAATGCTATAGATATAAAAAAAAATTATGAAGAGAAATCCTTTAATTATATAATAATTTATTTTTATTAATGTATATATTTCAAAACATTGCATTGTGTAGATAAAAGTTGTTGACATTTTATAGATAAGTTACAAATCTATATTAGTTTGTGACAAATGAAAGAAAAAATATTTGGAACTATTAATTATATTTGATTATAATTTGAAAATAGATATACACTGTATTACATCATATCTAATTTTAGAGAACTATTAATCATATCTAATGTTTTTTTCACTCATATAAATCAGTTTTCCACACTGTTTTTAGTCATGCTTGAAGATATTGACATGATATTTACTTTTTGTTTACACCATGACAAGTTATAGAACAAGTTAGCATTTTGTTCCAGTATAATGAATTTTTCCCCGGTAGGGGACTATGTATTGCCATGCAATACTCTCAGAATGCGTGTTTATTTCTGACTTTCTTCTGCCTGCATTTTTTTTAAAAATTGTATGGTGAAAACTAGTGTACTTAACAGTTTGAAATTGTTTCATTTCAGAATTACACAGGAATACCAGACAGCTAGATTGTTCCTATCTCATTATGGTTTCTTGTCATTAGAAGCTTTAAAGGTATGGTGAATACTCTGTTTAAATGACCTTATATTGTAACAGAAGTAAGATGTTATTTGCATGGCAGGATCAACACAAATATGTATTTATACCTTGTTCTATCAACTAACGTAACATGTTATATGTTTTTGAGTTGTATGGATTTTCTATTTTTATTTGCTTTTTGCATTTCTTTTCAATTATCACAAAAATTGCTGAATTTTTACTTCGTTTTTTTTTTATATAATACACTTTGATCAAAGGGATATAACTACTTTCAACAACAACAACAAAACAACAACAACAACAACAATGTTCCATTCTTTAAACACCAATAAAATCAAAGGTACAGAGAATGACATGCGAAAAAGAATAAAAATAGTACATGATATGGTAGGGTAAGTGTAGTAAGATATACAATATGAAGACAACATGATAGAAGTTGGCATAGTTACCAACCTCTAGTAATGAGAAATCATGTCAATCAAAATGCTTGTAAAAATGTGCTTGCCAAATTTGTTAAGAGCTTTGCTGAAGCATTTCAACAGAAAGTCATATTTGACCTAGATAGAATTTTAATCTGCTACAATCATAAAGGAAGCTTTATTGAAAACAGAATTAAGAAAATATGGTATCATTGCCAATCTGACATCTTACCATAGACCAAAGGACAAAGATATAATTGATATGAATTGAGGTTCATCTTTATGTTTTATGTTTTGTTAAATGTACTATAAATATTTATAAATATAATTGTAGGATAATAATAACAGCAGTATACCACCAGCTTTAGTTATGTTAGATACAACCAATTCGGGATTGTTTACAGATTTGGAGATATTAGATACTGTGACTTCACGTGACAATGATACTGTTCATATATTCTATGTTAAATCTGGTCAAAAGAATTTTCATGATATTATAGACAATGTAGTAAGTAGTGTTATATATCTTCCTAGTTCAGTTTTTAGTGGGCAATATTCTGGACAGTTATTTCTATAGTGCATTTATTAATATATGAATATTTTTACTATTTTCACATGGAACATAGTTAAATAATTTTTTCCATTTTTACAATTTTCAAGAACTGTTCCCCCCCCCCCCCCCCCCCCCCCCCCCCCCCTTATTTGCATGTTTTTATACGACCGCAAAAAAAATTTTGTGGTCGTATATTGGTATGACGTTGACGTTGGCGTCGTCGTCGTCCGAAGACACATTGGTGTTCGCACTCTAACTTTAGTTTAAGTGAATGGATCTATATGAAATTTTACCATAAGGTTCAATACCACAAAAGGAAGGTGGGGATTGATTTTGGGGGTTATGGTACCAACAGTTAAGGAATTAGGGGCCAAAAAGGGGCCAAAAATAAGCATTTTTGTAACTTCCAGACATAACTTGTGTGTTAGTGTATGGATCTCTCTGACATTGTACCACAAGGTTCCATATCACAAAGGGAATGCTGGGATTGATTTTTAGGGGTAATTGCCTCCAAATTTTAGGAATTAGGGGCCAAAAAGGGGCAAAAAACAAGCATTTTTCTAGTTTCATGACAATAACTTGTGTGGATCTCTCTGACATTGTACCACAAGGTTCCATATCACAAAGGGAATGCTGGGATTGATTTTGGGGGTAATTGCCTCCAAATTTTAGGAATTAGGGGCCAAAAAGGGGCCAAAAATAAGCATTTTTCTAGTTTCCAGACAATAACTTGTGTACAAGTGTATGGATCTCTCTGAAATTGTACTGCAAGGTACCATACCACAAAGGGAAGGCTGGGATTGATTTTGGGGGTAATTCCCTAGAAATTTGAGGAATTAGGGGCCATAAAGGGGCAAAAAAAACCCAAGCATTTTTCTAGTTTCAGGACAATAACTTGTGTGTAAGTGTATGGATCTTTATGAAATTGTACTGCAAGGTTCCATATCACAAAGGGAAAGCTTGGTTTGAGTTTGGGGGTAATTGCCCTAAATGTTTAGGAATTTGGGGCCATAAAGGGGCCAAAAAACAAGCATTTTTCTAGTTTCCAGACAATAACTTGTGTTCAAGTGTATGGATCTCTCAGAAATTGTACTCATACATATGAACCTCCCAACGGGAGTACAATAATCCCGTTTTCAGGGGTCTCCTCCCGTTGAAGACAAAAAAAAAATCCCGTGTATGAAATATTTCATGAATGAAAAATTTCAGCCCAACATATCTGGTGTAACTGACATTACCTGAAGTTATATTTTATCTGTAAATCAATTAACATGCATAATTATATGGCTTCACTTGTCACCTTGGGTGTCAAACATACTGGTAATCAACGATTGTTACCTCAGGCTAATTGCCGTTGTGTAATAAAACTTTGTATTTAAAATGAATGTTGGGTTACTTCCCTTGATTTATCCAGTTTTAAGTTATTTTCCTTTAAATAATGTAAATTTTTAAAAGAATATAAATAAAATATAAATTGAACAAATAATCATAAAAGGATGGTCATTAAATGATTTTAAATGTCTTAGGACAAATAAAAAAATAATAATTTGAAAATTATTTGAGGGATCTATACTTCCTTTTAAGGCTTAAATTGAAATTTATATAATAACTATGACCCATGATCATAGTTTGAATGTGTTACTTATCATGCATTAAACATCTACTTGCATCATAAAGATAAAAAAAAAAAATCTACTTGCAAATAGATAAGCAAATGTTCTGATTGCAATGAATAATGGTAAAAAGGATATGTATGACCTAAAAAATTTAAAGAACATACTGATAAAGAAGAATGTTAGATTGAACAAGTTCAAAGTTTAAAAAGATAGAGAAAATTTATAAGTACAAGGGTACTATAAACATAATACATTCGGATGGAAAGTTGAAGAAAACACACTTTAACAGACAATTTCTACAGCACATGGTTACATTTACGACAGAATTTATGTCGATTAAAAACCTCCTGATCTGAGTCCTAATCTCTTGACCAAAATTTCCCAAACTCCTGATCTGAGTTTCACAGTCCAATACATGTATGTGTACTGCAAGGTACCATACCACAAAGGGAAGGCTGGGATTGAGTTTGGGGGTGATGAATCATAAGGGGGTTAAAAAAATTGGGGGGGGGGGGGGGGGGGTTCCTTTTTTTTCTTTAAAATTTTCCATTTTAAATTGGTTATTTCTGATTTATATATAAAAGCAAATAATAATGATATGGTTTGAATAGATAAATTAAAATTTTTTAAGTTCTTAGGCCACATTCATTCTGTGTCAGAAACCTATGCTGTGTCAAATATTTAATTACAATCCAAATTCAGTGCTGTATCAAGCTTGAATGTTGTGTCCATACTTGCCCCAACTGTTCAGGGTTCGACCTCTGCGGTCGTATCAAGCTGCGCCACAGCGGAGCATTTTATTTAATAATTACTTTATACTCTGAGCCTATTCAGTAATAAACAAATACCTTAAATTAAAACTTGCTGTCTGATAGTTTAAACAATATTTATTCAGATAAATTTCCACATACAATTAATTACTAATTTGAAAAAATTGTAAATAACTTTTTTAACTGACAGAAAATGATAATTTTATCTTTCTGAAAGTCTCTAATATTAAAAGGTTTTAAAAAGAAATTCAAAGTAGGGAGGCTTTAGATTCGCAAAAATGTTTTCTTATTATAGACATCAAGAAGTAATGTACAGTCACAGTTTATTGAGTTCCTTCATTCACTTGGATGGCCTGTAGATGTAAGAAAGCATGCTGGTTGGACTGGACACATAAGTACAAGCTGGAAAGTCATGGAACCAGAGGAAGATATCAGTGGTAAGTTTGTATCATGTTTTGACTGGGTCCCTGTTCAAAAGATACAGAAAGTATGCTTGACTATCAGTGATAAGTTTCTCTGTCTTAACAAGACAGAGCCCGAGGATATTGTTCTCATAAGATTTTCTGACAATATTCTTTGCAATTTATACAGTCTATTTCCATTTGGTAACATTGAAATAAACTACAATAATGTATATATATTTATCATCTCCTAGTAAGGCATCTATTTTTGCTTTAATTAACTGAACTGAAGTTAAACACTGTAAATACAGAAACTTATTTGTGCAATTTTCATTGCCATTTTTGAACAATTGATTAAAATACAAGATTTATTGTTGCTATTTCAGGAGTTTCTGCAAACAAATGATTCCATCAAAATTTAAAATGTATGAATTTTTATTTTTGAGGAACATATTTATTCACAATTTTTGCAATAATAAAAACATCACAAACATTTCTGAATTTTCTTTAATTTAAAAGCGAAATGTTTAATATGTCAACACATCAGTTGAAAATGTTTCAAGATATATTTTGGTAAATGACTTTTGATATATTTACAGCATCAGATTACCAGATGAGTACGGGTGGGAGTGTGTATGATGGTAGACAACAGGTATTATACTGGGCAGATGTTTCGTCAGAGGTCGCTTTTGTTGTTCCATCTACAGAATCGAGAATATCATCTAGTAACAGTTCTGGAGGTAAGGTGGAAAGACATAATATATATTTGTTCATGGTCCAAGTTAATTCCGGAGACCAGACAGAGAAGGATTCTGGTTGTGTCATGTGTAAAGTTTTGACCTATGTAGGTTGATTTTCAGCAAGAAAAAATGGGAAATATAACTTTATTTTTTTAACTGCTAATTTTCTTTTTTGTATGAAATATGTGAAGTATAGGATAGTGAGACAGCAACCCAGAGAAATATAACCAAAAAGACATCTACATACAGCTCTACACAATAGACAAGTGTCTATATAATATGTTGAGCTCTACTTTGCCTGGATTGAATATAAAAAAGTTGTGAATAAGTGAAACAGAACAAGTAGAGATCTTCTATCAACACCAAATTCTCAAAAATAACGAAAAACATTAAGATATAACAACCACTGAAAAAGGAAAATAACTTGAGACAGACACATTAGCATGTAGCAGAGTTAAGCTAGTTATCAAAGATAATAGTTCTCCCTCTTTACCCCTATTTTTGCTATTTTTACCTATTATGTCTGTTTGTTTTGTTCACACATCGTTGTCAATATAATGGAATTGTATGTGACTGTCATACAAGTGAGAGGTTTAGCTAGCTATAAAACCAGGTTTAATCCACCATTTTTTACATAAGAAAATGCCTTTACCAAGTCAGGAATATGATAGTTGTTATCCATTCGTTTGATGTGTATGAGCTTTTGATAGTGCCATTTGCTTAGGGACTTTTAGTTTAGAATTTTTGTCGGAGTTCGGTATTTTTGTTATTTTACTTTTTTCAATCTTACAGTTTGTCTCTAATCAAAACATTTATTCCAGATAAATCTCCTCTTTTGACACACAAAATGGCTGAGAGGGCTGCATCAGACATATCTATTAACAAGCCAAAGACTCTGTCATTAGATAGAGCTGATCATGTAGACAAGATAAAGGGAGACAGTCCAAATTCCCCACACGATCAACCAATTTTCAAGAAGTCTGGTCGTCAACCTGCTCTGATGGCTGGTCCAGATATAAAAATATTAGTAGTTTGGTTGGAGAACTTCCAGGATCATGAGAACTTCCCTACTGGTATGTTTATTGTTTAGTTTGATTGGTATAAAACATACTGTGAATTCAACTACTGTTGCTTTTGTGGGAAAAGGCGAATCAAAAGTTTAAATGTTTAGCAAAGTACAAGTTGTCTATAAGCTGTATGCAGGTTTCTACAAAATAAAATATATAAAAAAGTTACAATTCTGCCTCGAACAAAAAAAATTGGTACTCAGGAACAAATAAATCCACTGTATTTTCATTGGTCCTTTTTTTGGTGGAAGAAGACTTCAAGTCTTCTGAAAGCCTTTACTGCCAGCTGTAAAATCATTGAACCGTCACCAGGACGTATGCCGTATCCCTTTCTGTGCTTTACAATTTCATAACAACTTCTGTGCTATATCTTGACACCGATGTTTACACATGATCTAAACATCTGCATCATTTAATTTATTAGTTAGGCTTGAAAAATGATCACTATCGTTAGTGTTATAATTTCTCATGTTTTAATGTATTAATATCAACCCTTTTATTTATGTAAATTATTATATTTCATCTCATCTTACATGAACTTTATTAGTTTACTTGTAACCGGATGTCTTTAAAGTAGAGTTTGTAGTACGCATGCGTGAATTTGGTATCGGGTCAGTTCGCCCTGATTACATGTTCGCCCTTGGTCTGTTCGCCCTGAGTTAGTCCCCATAGAGTACGTTCACCCTGGGTTACTTCTCCTTACTTTTATCGTGGAAGTATTATATTGACTGCTTATATCAAGGACGTTTTATATGTCCTTGCAATTATTAAAAAATAATAATATTATGGGTATTAAAGTTTAATAAACTTATTCAGATATTTATATGGTATAAATTCTCGAAATTCATGAACACACATGAAAAAAAATTGATTAAAAGTTGATGGTTTGTTTTGGAGCATTAATAGGTCATGATAATAATTTTCACTGATTGTTGTAATAATTGTCTTTGGTAGATTAATAATTGGAATTATCGGAATAAAACAACTGGATTATTCGGGTTAATTTAAAGCATGTTGGTTACGTATCTGCGCATGTGCACAAATGGGAAATTTAATTGTGCATCTGAAAGTTTCAAAATAATGATAAACATAATTGTCATATATTCATACAATCCATCTTGAGTTAAAGTCAAGTATATATGTGGAGAGTACGACTTCAAATCAATGATGCTTGAAAAAAATACATGGATTTAGTTGTTCCGTCTGCGTTCAGATCTTTAATGCAATCAATTAAGTCATATTCCAGTTTTAGACAACATGTGTTTTTTAAAAAGAAAGTTAGAATATCTAAGTATGTTATTGCGATAATAAAGAGTCAAGCGCACACGTGAATCTGCTGGTGTTTTACACATCAAATGATGCACCGTCTGTTGACAGAAATATCAATGTACAAACTAATGTCTGTTGACGGATTCCATTTCGAAAGTACGTAGTTTTCATGTCGGTCATTGTCGGAATGTTCCCAATGATGGCCTTTATTGCCTTAATACGTTTCAAAGTTTTAGAAGTGATAAAAAAACGGGATTTAACAACTGAATAGTCCAGCTCTTTACTGTACCGTTATTCATCATTAAGGTACACACAAAAATGACACATTTCGAGGCTCGAGTACGGAACCAGTAATTCCTTGCTGTCAATAGTTTTATTTTCATGAAAAATTTCAGAAAAGGGCTGTGTGACTCCTGACGGAAAATGCCTTTCCTACCCTTATACTTTTGTGTAAAAATATTAGATGAAAAACAAATATGATATATGGGTCAAGCACTTTAAATGAACGGGTTTGAAATGCTAAAAGAGTGAAGCGAACACGTGATTCTGTCAACTGACGGTGCATCGTTTGATGTGTAAAACACCAGCAGATTCATGTGTGCGCTTGACTCTAAATTATCGCAATAACATAGCAAGGTCATCACCTGACATGACTGGTCAATCCTTGGCCTGACACATATCTGCATTGGATATATTTAGAATTTGTATACGACCGCAAAAAAATTTGGCGGTCGTATATTGGTATGACGTTGGCGTCGTTGTTGTCCGAAGACACATTGGTTTTTGCACAATAACTTAAGTTTAAGCGAATGAATCTCAATGAAATTTTACCATAAGGTTCAATACCACAAAAGAAAGGTTGGGATTGATTTTGGGGGTTATGGTACCAACAGTTAAGGAATTAGGGGCCAAAAAGGGGCCAAAAATAAGCATTTTTCTAGTTTCCAGACAAAAACTTGTGTTCAAGTGTATGGATCTCTCTGAAATTGTACTGCAAGGTACCATACCACAAAGGGGAGGCTGGGATTGATTTTGGGGGTAATTGCCTCAAAATTTTAGGAATTAGGGGTCAAAAAGGGGCAAAAAAACAAGCATTTTTCTAGTTTCAGGACAATAACTTGTGTGTAAGTGTATGGATCTTTAGGAAATTGTACTACAAAGTTCCATATCACAAAGGAAAAGCTGGGTTTGAGTTTGGGGGTAATTGCCCTAAACTTTAGCTGGGTTTGAGTTTGGGGGTAATTGCCCTAAACGGTTAGGAATTTGGGGACAAAAAGGGGACAAAAAACAAGCATTTTTACAGTTTCCAGACAATAACTTGTGTTCAAGTGTATGGATCTCTCTGAAATTGTACTGCAAGGTACCATACCACAAAGGGGAGGCTGGGATTGATTTTGGGGGTAATTGCCTCAAAATTTTAGGAATTAGGGGTCAAAAAGGGGCAAAAAAACAAGCATTTTTCTAGTTTCAGGACAATAACTTGTGTGTAAGTGTATGGATCTTTAGGAAATTGTACTACAAAGTTCCATATCACAAAGGAAAAGCTGGGTTTGAGTTTGGGGGTAATTGCCCTAAACGTTTAGGAATTTGGGGCCAAAAAGGGGACAAAAAACAAGCATTTTTACAGTTTCCAGACAATAACTTGTGTTCAAGTGTATGGATCTCTCTGAAATTGTACTGCAAGGTACCATACCACAAAGGAAAGGCTGAGATTGAGTTTGGGGGTGATGAATCAAAAGGGGGTTCAAAAAATTGGGGGGGGGGGGGATTTTTATTTTCCTTTTTTTCCTTTTTTTTTTTTCTTAAAAAATTTTTCATTTTAAGTTGGCTATTTTTGATTTATATATAAAAGCAAATAATAATGGTATGGTTTGATATCATCAAAAATTGAATTATTGGGGTTCTTTGATATGCTGAATCTAACCGTGTATTTAGATTCTTAATTTTTGGTCCCGTTTTCAAATTGGTCTACATTAAGGTCCAAAGGGTCCAAAATTAAACTTAGTTTGATTTTAACAAAAATTGAATTCTTGGGGTTCTTTGATATGCTGAATCTAACCGTGTATGTATTTAGATTTTGCATATTGGACCATAATAGGTAAATTAAAAAATTTTAAGTTCTTTGACCACATTCATTCTGTGTCAGAAACCTATGCTGTGTCAAATATTTAATCACAATCCAAAATTCAGAGCTGTATCAAGCTTGAATGTTGTGTCCATACTTGCCCCAACTGTTCAGGTTTTTTTTTTTAAAGTTAACTATCTGCCTTTGACAGAAAACTTTCAAGTGAAACCAAATCAATTACTGTTATAATTGTTTGGCGAAATTGCATTGCATCAAGTTAACCATGCTGAGGCGAATGTATGGAATTTAGTCATAGAAAATTTAATTTGAATCAACAGTATTTGCAGATTTTTATGTTAAGTATAGTGAGTTTTGGTTGAGTTATGAGTATTATTATTTTTGGAAGAAAAAAATAAGTCGAAAACAATAATGGGACAAAGCAGACTGGTTTGGTGGGCTGCTTTTATTGTAATTCAAGTTACCTTTTATGCATCTTCTTCCACCTCAGAGCAATCAGCTCTTTGATTATCATGTTCAGTTTTGTGGATTGAGGTAAAACTGCATTTAATGTGGATTTGAATGGTTTTTAAAAATTCTCAATAAAAGTGTTAAAGAAAAATGAAATTTAGTTTACATTTAGTGATTCACACATACTCATGCAAGTTCATTGGTTTTTTAAAAGTGTTTGCATAGTAGAAAATTAGTTTATATTGCATTTGTCAGTGATTTTGTATTGAATAACATATCACTTTGCAACAGTGAAACAAAAACATTGAATCAGCTCATTAAAAATTTGATAGCTTATTTTTTAAAATTTTATGAAATCTTATATCCTTTTCAACATTACTTGTATAACATTTTGAAAGTAGGAAACATTTTGTCAGTTAGGATTAAAATTAAACATCAGTCTCATGAGATATGAATCAAATATATTCATCACTACATATGTGACACAGTACATCATAGTATAAAAGTTGAATTTTGGTCACCGTGACCTATATTTTAAGCTTGAGTAGTTTTAATAAAGTTTACTATTACAGAGGATATACTGAGTGTGACAAGGACAGGTATGGAACACCTGAATACTTCATTGATGTCATCGACCACCAAATCAGCAGAGAAAGATACCTTCATAATCTTTATTCATGCTTTACAAAATGGTTTGTTTAGGATACACATGCAGGGCATAACAGGAAGGTAAGTGTCACTAAACTGTATATCTATACTACTAAAATAACGAAGTCCAATTTGTAAGCCGACATGGCGTCAAAACGATAAATCAAAGAATTCTACTTTATATATAACTAATAAAGTACAACAGTGATGTTGAAAAATTACACCATTCCAGGCCCTTTTGTTTTCCACATAATTAAGGAAGTTCGCTTGTCATGTTTTGGAATTTTTGTCAGATTTTCGGAATCCTCTGGTTTTATCTATTTGAATGCCTTAAAAAATTTTGCCCATTGACCCCCATTTTTCATTTAAAAAATCTTTTACATGCATAGTTATAAGCCATCTGTAAAAGTCTTATAAAATCTTCATTATTTTTTAATAGTTTTTGAGAACTTTAACTTGTTAATGATAAAGCTATGAAAAATCAAGAGAGAATATTCTTCCGCCAAAATTTCAATGGCTAATATCTCGAAAGCAAGCACATTGACCTATATTTTGTTTTTGCTCTTTTTGTTCCTTTATTTATCCCCTATCAATATGTACTAGTGTTATGAAAAGCTTGTTATTTTGAAACTGAGTAGCGAACTTCCTTAAGATTGTCAATAATTTACAAGTTCTGGGTCGAATCAGATACTAGTATTGATAGTATATATCACATGTAGTTTCCGTTTGTAACCTGCTGCCTTCTGTAAATATCTCCTTTATCTAGAGAATCTGGAATTCTTCCAGAAATTGTTTTATACCTATGTTACACTATATAACTAGTAAGTATTTAATATATCTGTATGCTAACCAACCAAGATGGCTGGCTTTACTACAAGGAAAACAAAATAAAAGAGATTTTTGAGAAATTGTAATAAACCGACGGTATGGTAAGGTAATTTTTTTACCATTGAATTAAATATATAATATAATATTCTTCCCATGTTTAGCATCAGTCTTTTAGATATCAGTTATAATAGGTTTTCATTTAGGTTCCTTTTGATCATTTAGCTACCGATGTATTCAAGTATTAATCTATCTTGGCTTTCAAATTTTTTGTTTTAAATGTTCTGATGAAGATTATTCAGAAAAGCACTTTTGATGCATCAAATTTATTGAGTGTTAATTTCCTGTTTTAAGTAAATTCCTCTAATTCTTACTCGATTTATCCGTTTCCTGACCTGTTGATTATTTTTATTTAATCAACATGTGGTTTGTTTCATCTCAGTTCTTCATTGGTCAAAATTCGATTATGACGTCAAATTTTCTTGCTTTCCTCTGAAATTCCTATTGTGACGTCATGAAAAAAGGCAAACCATGCCTGATGACGTCACGTAGAAGGAACACATATTTTGCATGTCTGAAAAGACGGCTTAAGATTGCTTGCATATCGTCTAAAAATCATTAGAGAAACAGATTCCACCACCAAATTTCATGCAATACAATATTTATCCACTCTGGACAGTTAAATTTTAATTATTTAAAACGCTCGGCGAGCCTCGCATTTTAAATTTAACTGTCTTGAGTGAATAAATATCTTATCACACTCGATGCAGTTGTAGAATCTATATGTATCTACAGAAGCTGATTCATGTCGCCTTTATATAAATCTGCCTTATGATAATATCACCATATACCATAGATCATTAATGATGGAATTTGTCAGATCATCAAATGTATATTTTCTTCAGAATCAATATGGCAATACCATTGATAGATGGGATGGTGGTCAGTCGACGTACGTTAGGACCAATGGTCAGACAAACAGCAATTAATATTGGTAAAAGAAAAAGATTGGAAAGTGAAACGTAAGTTGCTGGTTCAGCAAGAAACATGATAATAATAAACAAGCAATTTAAATCACATACATACAATGCTTTTCATCAACAGGAAAAATATAAATCAGACAAGCTATATAGTTATATTTAGATACATTGTTGAAAGGTATATGTTTTCTGAGCAGACAGTTGAATCATGAACAGGTAAACAAAAGAAAACAATCAACTATCAATACATCGTTAAAAGGCAATTAATCATCTTTACAACGTGCAATTTACAAACCTGAGTTTAAATTTCCCATTGAGTTTATATTATGAGATATTTGGATTAATTGAATGGTTATGTAAAATTAAGAATGGAAATTGGGAATGTGTCAAAGAGACGACAACCCGACAAAGAGTGGAAAACAGCCAAAGGCCACAAATGGGTCTTCGATACAACGAGAAAATCCCGCGATCGGAGGGGTTCTTCAGCTGGCCCCTAAACAAAAATGTGTACTAGTTCAGTGATAATGAATGTCATACTCAACTCCGAAATATATAAAAGAAACTAAAATTAAAAATCATACAAGACTAACAAAGGGCAGAGACTCCTGACTTGGGACAGGCGCAAAAATGCGGTTGGGTTAAACATGTTTTTTAAGATCTTAACCCTTTCCCTATACCTCTAGCCAATGTAGAATAAACAAACACATAGCAATACGTACAGTAAAACTCAGTTTAAAAGAAGTCCAAGTCCGATGTCAGAATAGGTAACAGGAGAAACTAAACAAAATGACAATAATACATAAATTAACAAAGGACTACTAGCAGTTACTGACATGCCAGCTCCAGACCTCAATTAAACTGATTGAAAGATTATGTCTTCATCATATGAATAACAAGCACAATCCTTCCTGTTAGGGGTTTAGTATCATACCATCATAAAATATATGAGAAGAACATAACCCATATCAGGCCAAAAACTGGTTTTAGAATGAATGTGTTTATTTCCGATGCAAAGACCCTATGAGTGAATCAATATTAAAGCCAAAATATGCCACCTTTAATGACCTGACAACAGTATTGTAACTATATCCCTTCTTAATAAGTCTGTTTAAAGGTATTGTTAGCTTTTGAGGTGAACATATTATTGAGAGTTTTGGGAACAAGACAAACTATTTAATATTTCATTATCAGTTTTAAACAAAGATGTCTTTTCAAATAGATAATTGAAAATTTTATGCCAAGACGAAATTATATTAAACTTTTCAATGTGTAAACTAGATTATTGATGAAAATCAAACTAATTTGCATGATAATTCAACTATATACTTTATTGAACCAATGCTATCCATGTTTTATTTAAACCAATAGATATCTTTATTTTTAATCAATTTATCTTTCCTCAGATATCAACCACCACATGTAAGAAGAAAGTTAAAGATTCAGGAGATGGCCAAACAGTATCGTCTAAAAATGTCCGAGCCTGAGTTCTACACGGCACTATTCCATGACGTACCAAAATGAAGATAAATATTCAACACATATCTCTGTTTGAAAATACCTGAATGTTGATATCTACATTGGGCTATCTATCTCAAACTGAAACTGTTGTCATTAATGTTAGATCCATGCAGTATACATTGTCTTTATTTCGTGTTTCTACTTATAAACTCATCTAAATCTCTTGTCTGAAATGAAGATATTGACAACTGTTTGAGGGATCATTGTAAAGACTTAGTAGTGGACCAAATGGAGACATGTATGATGTCTTTTGACGACCACGACCAATACTACTACATAGAGCTTATTATAGAAGGATCTTTGCATATAAATCTGTTTAGCAATGACCCATATCAATATGTTTAGATGATATTAGCAGTCTGAATGCATGCTGATGCAATTAGCTATTACCATTTTCACTTCATTTAGATTATATAAGTGGGCTATGTGTACATAACTGTGTTAAGCTCTAAGGATCATCACTATGTGCACACAAATGTAACACTTTTGTTATGACAACTACACCTACATTTAGCATTTAGATTATATTAGAGGGCTATGTGTACATAAGTGTGTTAAGCTCTAAGCATTATCACTATGTGCATACTCGATGTAACATTATTATGACTACTACACCTACATATAGATTTTAATAGAGGGCTGTGTGCAATGTATCTGTGATATTTTAAACAGCTTTTTACAACATATTCAATCAACTAAACATTTTAGATGGAAGGTAAAACTGTGGATTTTATATTATTTCTGGGATACCAATTTACATTGATTTACAGATGAACAACAAATTTAAATGTTCAACAAAGTAAAAAAATAGTATTGGTTTGTATGCAGACTTTTGTTAAACCACGAAATCAATATTCACGAAATATAATTTTTCATTAATCCACAAAAATTTTACCTATAAATATAGATTAATCCACAGTAGTTTTTCCCATAAAAAATATGTTTGAAAAGGCAACATTTTATTAGCAAATTGTTTGGGGTGTAATATATTGTTTAGAAAAGTTGTTAAGCCTTGCATTATTCTTAAATATTTATTGCACTAAATCATAACCATTTAATAAGTAATTTCAATAACTGAAGTAATCAAATAATTAACACGTGCCAAATTCAAACATCAGTATTCATCATAATACTAACAAAAATATACCTTAGAAAAGATTTGACAGATTTAAAGTAGTAGTTGAACTTTTATTTTGGTTTTCGTAGCATATCTTTCAAATAAAGGAAATTTTCTACTTTCTAATAAGAGAAATATGTTAAGATACTAGTATACAAAGATTAAGCGAGTATGTACACGAATGCCAAATTCATGTTTTGTTGCCTTATTATTTGTAAAAGCTTTGGTTATGTTTAAGCATTGTAATTTAATATTGTTCATCTAGTCTGATATCTGTACTACACATGCAATAGTGCTGTAATTGTTAATAATTGTTAATAAAATATTTATTGAAATTAAAGATGTTTTTAATGAACAGAATCTTATCTAGCTACCAGAAGAATATTTTATGATCGAATCGAAGGAGCTAATTTTTGGTGGATCCCTTTAATAAACTTGGTTGACAACTGCTACTTACTTTGAATTATCAATAACAGCACATTTATTTGATAAAGTAGCACATCTACTTTTCTATTGCAATCTAACTTCCTTAGTCACAAATCACTAAACATTAGAAATCATTCTCATAAAATAAGTAATATATCTCTGCAATAGAAAAATATTTCAGTACAACTATAGCATCACTCTAACAATATATATATATATATTATTCTAATATGACGTTCTTCAAACGCTTTGAGTACACACCCGTGGTAAAATATGAATATATTTTTTGGGCTGTTCCGATCATACTCCCACGTCATATGTTTTTTTGTGAATGAGCTACCCGAAGTCATTGAACGATGACGTAAGAATATAAGCATTTTACGGGAAAATGCATGATTGTGAAACCTAAAATCATGACAACAAGGAAACGTAAACAAACGATGATAAAATGTGTTGTAAGCCTTTTTTTTTTTTACATATAAGTAAAATTATCATTTAAATTTATCCAAACCTATCTAAATACGTTATTGCAAATAGTTTAAGCATGTCACTAGTTCAGTTTGCTCTGTTCTTTTACGTCAATGTAATAGTGTGTTTATTTACGGGAACGGCAAATATTTGCCTTCACCTAGAGCGCCGCGATCCAAAGAATTGCCATATTTGTCCTATTAGAATAGAGATAATTCCTAGGGGCTTGAATTTATACTGCTTATACCACGGGTTTGCCCTTTATTGCCGATATTTTACCCCTTGCTGTCGCTCATGGTAAAATATTTAGCATAAAGGGCCAACCCATGGTAAAATCAGTTTAAATTCAAGCCCTGATGAATTATTTCTTAAATATTCTTTTCAACAGTTGCAGTCTATTGAAAATAAAAGTATGTCTCCTCATTATAGGAACACTAGCAGATATATTTACAATAGAAACACATCTCTCTACGATAGTAACATACTTGATTACAAAAGTGGCATGTATCTCCAAATAAAAGTTATATATTGTCCTACATTTACAGCAGATCCTTTCGGCAAAACACATATATCTTTCACAAGGGACGATACTATTAAATGTCTTATCTGCTATGATATTTAAAAACTCAAAACTAGTAAAGTCACTCTCAAATTGAAATTTGTCAGGTGCATGTTCATAATTGATATAGAAGTGGTAGGATTGCCAATGAGACAACTATCAACCAAACAACCAACTGACAAGGATGCAAACAACTACAGGTCACTGTCATATTTTACAATGAGCAAAGACCGTATAGTAAGCTATAAGAGAACCTCGGAATGACCAAATGTGTTTCAATGCTCGACAGAAAAACGATAAAACATTAAACTTAACAACAGTTGTGGAAAAACACTACCAACAACAACCTAAGTATTACAGCCCCTGTTGTGGAATAGTCACATACAGAATTTGGCGCGGTTGAACATATTTGTAGTACTCAACCCTCCGCTTACCAGTTTTATAAAGAACTAAAATATAATCAGGAACAACAACAAATAGCTGCACAAGATAGTTTATCGCTTAGTAAGATTTACGTATGCCATCACGAGTTGGTTGACTGTTATAGAATATCCGTTCCACAGATGATAGTGGATCTGTTCCTAATGTTGTAACTACAATCACCCCACCCCCACCCCCATCCCCATTTTTCCCGAATTGGACCTACCTAAGTAGATCTATTACCGGGTTTGTACTTACATGAGCAACACGACGGGTGACACATGTGGAGCACGATCTGTCTACCCTTTCGGAGCACTTGAGATCACCCCCCGTTTTTGGTGGTGTTCGTGTTACTCAGTCTTTTGTTGTCTGTTAGTCTTTTTCTTTTTTAGGCATGGCGTTGTCAGTTTATGTTCGACTTATGAGTTTGAATGTCCCTCTGGTATCGTTCGCCCCTCTTTCTTGTGCACATTGAAAAAAGTTCCAAGAATTAGATAGCCTTTGTAGAAAGCTTTAATTTAAAAGTCAAAAGCTCTGCAGAAAACTTACAGGATACCAATAAATTTAACGTTTGAAGTCGTGTGTTTTGTCTACAATAGATATATCAGTAGCACTCCGTTCAAAACAGTTGGAAAGCCAAATTAGATACGAAATTAAAATGCATAATAAAACCTAAAAGAATCTGCTAAATCTGGCGACCGCCGTCTTGGATATTACCCTTAATGCTGAATATCTTATAATGACTCATTTTAATGGTATTATCACCGAAGACCTTATAATGATTGTCATTAGGATTCATTTTGTCACCGTTTATCATCTCTAGAGACCATGTAATGACTCGCATTTGGATTATTTTTACCACTGAAGATATGATAATGGGCCTATTGTTAACGTTAAGCTCAAAAACATCAATGAATTGAAAACAACTGTCTTATTCCTGACTTAGTGCACGCATCTCCTAAATAGACGGGTTCTTTGACATATATTTGTTTTAGACCTGATAATGAGTCTGATGTTCTTACTGATATAACCCTTATAATGACTCGTATTCTTACGACTGACAACCTTAAAATGACCTACAAGTTTATCCACTGACGATCTTATAATTACGGGAACTTTGTGCCGTCACCGAATACCTAATAATAACACTCATGTTTTCACCAATGATGACATTATAATGATTGTCATTAGAACTGCTTTCGTAAATGAAGACCCACTATTCATGTTAATATCTTGTGCTGATTTCAGTGATTGACTAAAACATTCAATTTCGAATATATAATTATCAGATTATGTACATTTAATGTGTGCAAAAATCAGTTAGAATAATGATATAAGATCTGTCTTAATATTAGAATATATCCAATTCAATTCAAAATATTTTATTGTTCAAATATCAAACGTACATTTAAAAAAAGGAATTGGACAAAAGGCAACGCCTATACAAATCCTTTCCCATACAAGATGGATTGAATAATCTGATAGTATATAATATTTTCTGCATGGTAATTCATAGATCATTCATTGTTGCAGTGAGTAAGGGGAGGTAATGCCCCACTTCTTGAAATATTCTATTTGGTATACATATATAAATAATAACTATGTGAACCATTGCAAGTTCACTACTGAAAATGGGTTCGAATTTTATACCACATTAATAAGTAATGGTAACGAATCAAATAGATCGTTTAAGTGATATCTACTCAAATTCACAAACTCACTGCAACATAGTTGTTCTATTTGTAAAAATAACAAGAATTATTAGAACATACGCATACATGTCAGTGATAAGACAAAAGATACATATTTATACATTAAATATTTAAAGATTTAAACTCAGGAGTTAATTTTACAATTAAAATTAACAACAAATGTACAAAACATTAATTTTGCTGCTATTTTAACAATCCTGTTTTGAAAATTAATAGTTTATAGATTATAAAAAGCCTTCATGACAAAAATCTTGATGCGAGTTTTTGTCCTTTTTTCGAACACAAAAACAATACAAACGCATCCCATTCGAGCCCGAGTAGGTTTTTGATTGGTGTTATATTAATTACACACTGTCTATGAATAACATAATCTTTATATATTTATCTTTGCTATGAGTGTTCCTGACAATAAAGCAAGAAAAGGTATAGAGTGTGATTTACATTTGATAGTAGATACCTTTTGAGACAGATCTTGAGATTTGCGAAATGTCTAGAAGTTGAAAAAACGAATACGTTCCTGTTTTGTATATCTTAAAAATTAACTGAATGAAAATTCGGAGAAAAGTTTATAATATGTATCAAATTCACGTTAAACCTTTTTTACAATAATTATATCTATCTATCTGAACCTTTTCATTGATTTTTCTAAGAAAGTGAAAAGTTTCTGATGTATTCTGTTTATTGTACCAAACTTCAAGGGAAATTCAAAACGGTAAGTCCTTTATATAATGCAATGGTAAAACCAAAAGATCAAACACACCAAAAAATTGTCATATTCCTGACTTGGTACAGACGTTTCCTTATGTAGAAAATGGTGGATTAAACCTGGCTTCATAGCTCGCTAAACCTCTTACAATGTGTGAACAAAAGAAACAGACATTATAGGTAAAATGTCAAAAATTGGGATACAGCAGTCAACATTGTGATATAATATAAATTACTATCAAACAAATAGTGAAACAAATCGGCATAAATACACTCTATAGACAAAGTACATAAGGCAAAATGAAAGACAAGAATACATAATTGACAATATAACAATAGGGAATGGCACGGATGAGAGTCAAAATACTGATATGACCAAAGATGAGTTGATCCCTAGACGAGGTAATAGATCGTTTGGTCGTCTGCTCTGAATTTCTACCGATGATGTAAAATTATCGTTTGTGATATTTTGACAATGTTTGACTGAATACAAATTAGCAAGGCGGGTGTTGCATTCAAAACAGTAATACGCCTACCCTTTCCATGCAATATTTCATGTTATGTTCTAATACCTGGATTTGCCTTAACTAATAGATTTACGAGATTTGAACATCTGTTATAAGAAAATTAAAATTAACAAGAATACCGAATTCCATTTTTGTTATCAAGTTACAATGGTCACCATAACTTTTTTTTATTTCTATACACTGCTATTCCGTATTATAAATCAAATCAACGATTTCTGGATAACTCTGATCATTAGCAATGTGTGCAGCTACATATCTGTCATTGTCACGTTTATTAAAGTCTGCTCCTCTATCTAACAACATCTTTACTATGTCTATATGACCACGTTGACAAGCCATCATTGCCGGGGTCTTCCCCGATCCGGTACATTTGTTACAGTCTGCTCCTCTGTCTAACAATATCTTTAATGTGTCTGTATGATTATTTTCACAAACCTTCATTATAGGTGTCTCTCCCCATCCGTCACAGGTGTTATAGTCTGCTCCTCTATCTAACAATATTTTTAATGTGTCTGTATGACCATATTCAGGAGCCTTCATCACAGGTGTCTCACCATATCCATCACAGTTGTTATAGTCTGCTCCTCTGTCTAACAATATCTTTAATATGTCTGTACGACCATTTTTACAAGCCTTCATCAAAGGTGTCTCTCCACATCCGTCATGTTTATTATAGTCTGCTCCTCTTTCTAACAACATTTCTACTATTTTAGTATGACCTTGTGCACAAGCCTGCATTACAGGTGACTCTCCCCAATCCCCACATATATGGTCGTCTGCTCCCCTGTCGACAAACATCATACCTACTACTCTATTACAATGTTTATAAGCCTTCATAAAAGTAGACCTACAGTTATAATCACATAAATTAAAGTCTGTCCCTTTATTTAACAACAATTTTAATATTTCTATATGACCATTTTCACAAGCCGTTATTATAGGTGATTATCCAAAACAATCACATTTATTAAAATCTGCTTCTCTGTCTATCAACATCTTTACTATTTCGATATGACCTTGTTCACAAGCCTTCATTACAGGTGACTCTCCCCAATTCTCACATTTATGATAGTCTGCACCTCTGGATATCAACATCTTTACTATTTCTAGATGACCATGTTTACAAGCCTTCATAACAGTAGACTCACCGTCATTATCACATAATTTAAAGTCTGCCCCTCTTTCTAACAGCAATTTTACTATTTCTATATGACCATGTTGACAGGCCTTCATAAGAGGTGACTGACCGCCATTATCACATTTATTAAAGTCTGCTCCTCTGGATATCAACATCTTTACTATTTCTACATGACCATGTTTACAAGCCTTCATTACAGGGGACTGACCACCATTATCACATTTATCATAGTCGGCTCCTCTGTTTACCAACATCTTTACTATTTCTGTATGACCATGTACACAAGACTTCATTACAGCCGACCGTCCAGGTATGTCACATTTATTATAGTCTGCTCCGTTGTTTATCAACATCTTTACTACTTCTGTATGACCATGTTCACAAGCCTTCATTAAAGGTGTCTGGTCACTAGTATCACATTTTTCAAAGTTTGCTCCTGTGTCTAACAACATCTTAACTATTTCTGTATGACCACGTTTGCAGGTCTATATTAAAGGTGACTCTCCATTATAAAAAGTACCCTTGTTAATATCTACACCATGATTACAACACCACAGAACCAAACAAATATCACCGATAAGACAACAGTTTGATAGAACATCATCATCAGCATCATCATCAACATCATCTTCATCATCTTCATTACCATTATCATTATGGCCATCTTGATCTTCATGGTGACCCCAATCATCATCATCATCAAAACAATAGATACCATCATCATAACCATCATAATCATACCTATTATCATCATCGTTGTCTCTTTTATTACGGATATGCGCGAGCTGTCTCTGGTAAGATATATCAAGTGTTTTCAAATGAAGAAGCAATTGCTCTCTGAACAGAGGCTTCTTCATATTAATGTTACTAAATACATCTTGAACTTTTCCCTTTGACCAATCATCAATCAATCTCTCTATGTACATTTGATGATACTTTTGTGGTATGACAGAAATAAACTGACGGAGACAGTCACTTTTTTCTACTGAAAATCGTTCTTTAATCAAACAGCTATCTGCATTCCTTATGAAGCATTGGATTATTTTTTGCCCATAGAAGACAGTTAGAAAGTCGAATATCTTATCATGTATACTCATGTATACGTTTTCTTCTTTCTTTATGAATGTATCTCTAAAGGAGTCAAGTTCATCCTGTAAAAAAGTCTTGACGTTCCCCTGTCTAATCTGCATGCCTCACATGTGTTCTCAATGATAGTCCTAGTTTCTTCACCCACCTCTTCTGTCAACATTTCTTCTTTTAATTTGTTATTAAAGAGCACACATAGAGCCAAAGCACAGTATTTAGTGTGATGTCCTTTCTAAAGTAGCTTATCGATCTCAGCTTCATAAACTGAAAATGGATTCTGAAAGAAATATTTAACATTAAGTATAGGATTATCATGGTATAATTTACGTAAAAGAGGGAAACAATCATTTAAATTGTAATAGCCAGTAATCTCAGAGGCTTTTGTTTTCAAATATATCTCTGCTATTGACTGTTTTTCAGTTTTTGACAAACACACATTCTCTGATAACAAGTTACATGCACATGATTTGAAGACTGATAAAGATTCAAACTTTTCATCCTGGTATACTTGTAATCGACATGCTGCATTTATTTTTGCTTGCTTTTCTTCAAGAATTTGTTTTATATTCTCCATTACTGGTTCCCAACTTTTGATGTCACTCTGATTAACAGAAAAGTTTCCACATAAATCATCAACAAAAACAATGTTTTCTTGTATGGATTGTAAAACTTTACAATTTCACCTGGATCTGTCACAAGAAGAACATCATTATTTTCCTCTGCCATCTTTAAAGCTGTATGTCGGAGAATGCACGTTTTTCCTACACCAGAACTAGCAGTAATGGTAACACAACTATTTTCCTTTATATATTTTAGTACCGTTTGAGCAGCTCTTGTGTTTATAAACATTTTATCATCATTGTCCTTCCAGTTTTTAAGTGTGTCATCAATTCTTTCTGAAAAACAAATCAAAAAGTATTTAATCTTGACCAAGTCGAAAATTGAAAAAAAATAATAAATTTTCGTGATTTTTGGGGAAAAATAAAGTTCAACATTTTTTAATTTCTACTTACTTTATGATATGTGCATAATTTAATTTTGCTAAAATACTAAACAAATGAGCGCTAATACACAAACCTAAATTATTACACATTGGCTATTGTGTTTATGATCTAAAAACCATCAGAAATAGCCAATGGCAGCTAATTTGGAAACGATGTGAATGCTAATACTTGTCCCGAACGAGCCTTATGTGTAAACGTTTAACAATAAGCTGTTTTACTTTTTTATGTCATTATTTCCAGATATATTATTATAAAGCAAATTTGGCATAAGCTATTTCAATGACAACTTAGCATAGTACAAACAACAAAGACGTTAATTAAATTAAAGTAATAGAAGATGACTAAACTATTTGAGATATCTTGCTGTATAGTTCGAAAAATAGTTTTCCATTGCGATTAAAAAAGTGCAACTACTTTGCAAAAAAGCACGCAATCAGCATTCCTGCATGTTCTTTTTGACAGGACTACCTACTTTACGACTAAACATTTGTTAAAACAACAGCAGATTTAACTGGTGCCACATGTGGAGCAGGATTTGCTAACCCTTCCGGAGCACCATAAGTAAGATAATTGCTGATGCCTTACCAAAACAACCTGTCTGGCCTGTAAATCTTGAAACCTTTAGTGAAATTCAGGCTTAACCTATCAACTTTCATCTCGTCGTTCCATGGTACAAAGTCGACTTCCTAGTGGGCACCTTGACAAGATATAGGAAGATGTGGTATGAATTCCAATGAGACAACTCTCCATCCAAGTCACAATTTATAAAAGTAAACCATTATAGGTCAAGCTACGGTCTTCAACACGGAGCTTTGGCTCACACCGAACAGCAAGCTATAAAGGGCCCAAAAAAATTACTAGTGTAAAACCATTCAAACGGGAAAACCAACGGTCTAATTTATATAAAAAAACGAGTTTATTTTCCACTTATGAGTTTGAATGTCCCTTTGGTATCTTTCGCCTCTCTTTTTTCATGTATGTCATCAAATTAACATAGCCAATCCAAGTGTTTACCTCTTATGTTCCAAGGTACTGTATCATCTTGAGCATTTTTGAACCTTTTAACTTCCTTTTTCTTTCTGCATGATTGCCTTGGAGTTCATCATTGGATCTTTTCAAATTAGCAAACAACTTTTTCAATTCCTCCATTTCATCATTAGAACGTTTAATATCCATCATGATTTCTCTATTTGTCTGGTCCAGGGTTTTGGTTTTTAATAGATCACAGTCCCCCTTCATATGCTGTCCGCCTAATCTTTCAATAGCCTAGTAATTTATACAGAAATTAAGAGCATGTTTACAATTGAGTAACTATCAACATTTGTATAAGTAATTGTATGAATCTCATTACACTGAAGGTAATGTAAATACACCAGACAAACATGACGATTTCTAAAATGCGGGTACCAGTTGAAATACTATCTTTGTTGCCATCTTAGTAGGTATATTAGCATAACAAAAGTTAGCCTTGACAACTAATAATTCCGTATTTTTGGACTCATACAAAAGAAGTTGATTAAGTTGACACATTTTCATTTACCTTGTCAATATATGAAATAAATCATTTTCATTTCATGACCAAACTGACAGAGTAAAAGTGAAAGGTTCTCAATTGAGCAACACGACGGTTGCAACATGTTGATCAGGAGTTGCTTACCCCGAGAACAACATCGGTTCTTGGTGGAGTTCTGTTTTACAGCCAAGTTTCTACGTTTTGTTTTATCGATTGTTGGTTTTCTCGTCAAGTATTACATGTAAAGCCTTATAAACTAGACACTGACATTGCCGATAGAGTTATAGTTTACAATTTACTCCGATAAAGAGACTTACCCCAGATATAATGTCCCATGCTGTGTTGAAGTCTATAGTTCCTACTTTCCCATCATCTAGATGAGCCAGGTAGTTCCTGTAGTATTTTATTGTAGCCAAATCGAAACCTGATGTGGTTTCCATGGCAGTAGGTAAGCTATCAAATCCACAATGAGGATGAGTTATGGTTGTGAGGTTTCGTAGAAGAGTTATTCCTTTTGACACATTCCCCATTTCCATTCTCAATTTATTTATTAAGACAAAATAATTTCTCTTTAGGTTTTTAACAATATTTTCCTGTGCTTATTGTTATTTGCATGCTCTCTTATTTACTTATCACGAGTCATATGTTCATATTACAGGAATCCTGTCATTTGTGGCTGATGTTTTGTATGGCATCGTATGATTATTTAAGAGAGGCTAAAGATACCAAACTCATAAGTCTAAAATAAATTGACATCGCCATGGCCAAAAAGGAAAATAACCAAACAAAGCAAAAGAACTAAAACACAAACAGCAGTATACAAAGCATAGATAGAAGGCTAAAGAACTGAGTAAACATCAATTAGTCTCCAGTGAAGGTGCTCCACTTATATAAAATCGGGAGATGTGGAATGATTGGCAATAATATATCTAATCAACAGAGTTCAAATAAATCAAATTAAAGCAATTATAGGTCACTGTACGGCAATATACAAATCCCATACTCTATAGTCGGTTACAAAAGACCCCGTCATGACATAAGGTGAAACAATTTCATCGAAAAAACAAACGGCATGACTTATACAAAACAACAAATGAAAAATAAATAAGACAGATAGCCACCAACGAATCCCAAGTACGCATGATATTCATTGACAGATTTCGAAAACTTATTTCAAACAGGATAGCACATTCTAATTTTTACGGGGATGTTATTTACCGAGCATGGAAATTAACGATTCGGGTAAACCTATCTATCCTTTAAATAAACTTATTATAAAAGGTTACCAATTCAGCACTGTAATTGGATATTTGAATATTGTTTTTATTGGTATTCATTTTATAATCAGTAAATGAAATCAAACTAAACATTATTTTTTATGTACTAAAAATTAAACATTGAACTATCTGTCTGTAACTGCGAGTACTCTAAGATCTGTACTTAGTGTGGAATGTATTTGAACCCTACCACGTCCATTCTGTGTTATTTTTACTTGTGTTTGTTCTTTGTATCTATTTAATAAGTTAAACCCTTTTCAACTGATATTTTTTTGGTTCTTTAAATGTTGTACCGTTACACTACTGTCTCAGGTTATGGGAAGGGCTGGCCTCCCACTTACCTGTTTAAATAAACTCATCATATATACTAGGATTAAAGTTTAAACCCGCCAAATTCTGTTTGTGCCTGTCTGAAGTCAGGAGCCTGTGATTTAATGGTTAACGCTTGCTGCTATATATCATATTTGTTTTCGTTCATTATTTTGTACATAAATCAGGTTTAAATTGTTTTATATTTGTCTTTTCTGGGCCTTTTATTACTGACTATGCAGAATGGACTTTGCTCTTTGTTGAAGGCCCTACAGTGAGCTATAGTTGTTAATGTATGTGTCATTTTGTCTCTTGTGGAGAGTTGTCTCATTAACAATCATACCACATCTTCCTATTTTTATAAAAAGAAACATGTTTTTGCTAGCTGAATATGCTATACATTGCTATAAAACCAGGTTCAATCCACCATTTTCTACATAAGAAAATACCTGTACCAAGTCAGGAATATGACAGTTGTTATCCACTCGTTTGATGTGTTTGAGCTTTTGATTAGGGACTTTCCGTATTGAATTTTCCTCGGAGTTCAGTATTTTTGTGATTTTACTTTTTACTTGTGTGGTCGGAAAATACCAGAATGCGTATAGAGCGATTTGTTTTTTTAGATATTGATTGAATTTGTTTGTTGAATGTGAAGATAGAAAAACACTTAATAAATTTTGGTTTCGTTAATCAAATACCTTTTCAAGACTTTATTCAGAAAACGTAACACGTTAGTGTTCATTATATAAAAATGACGGCAAATGCTTGATTATTGCATATCTAAATGACAAATCTTTGGGTTTTCAAGTTAAGGATGAAAAAGTCAGTGGAACAGATTTTATTTCCAAGAAGGAATTATCGTGAATAAGAAGAAGCAGTCCTTTTTTTATATCTTAGAAAATATTTTATTTATGAAAAATAAATCGATGTGACATGATTGTCAATCAAACAATTCAAGTCAACGTAGAATTTAACATTTCTAAGTCACCGCACGGTCTCTACCAATTAGCAAACCATTATCGCATAATAGTCTATAAAGGCCCCAAAAGTAAAACATTTCAAACTAAAAAAAAACAACAGCCTGATTTATGTTCAAAACAACAAAACACAAATATGATATACTGCAAAAAAAAAGACAACCACTGAATTATTGGCACCTGACTTGGGATAGGCACGAACAGAATGCGAAGAGATAAGACAGGATTGAAGGCGCCAACCTTCCCCTAACTTGGTGCAACGCCTCAACACAAAAACATTCTATAGTCTTGTTTGCACTTACCAGGAAATCTAGGAAACAGGAGGTTCCACTGTGATTGGTTGATTCTATGTTTCTTTTGTAAGTCCAACAGTTTATTATACTTTTTCTTCAGTGAGGCTTCTAAACATGTTTGAGCAAACTCCCTATCAAAGAAGGTTCTTGCTGCCCGTGGAGAAATTCCTGTTAGTAACAAACTCATTCTAACATAGTGTTCTTCCTCTATAGAAAGGGAGACCATCTTGCTAGATTTTCAGATTAGCAGTCAATAGGATTTCTGCTCTTCTATCAGAATTATAGACTCATAAATAAAATTGAGAATGGAAATGGGGAATGTGTCAAAGAGACAATAACCCGACCATAGAGTAGACAACATGTCTCCTTAAGGAATTGTCACAGCAAAAATTAAACTTGGCTGCTGCTCTATGTTTGAATTTTATGATGACAAAAATGACAAAAAATCTTCTTGACAGCATCAGATAATATTAGGAATACTCCTAAAAAAAATAAAATGCTATATGATAAGTTTCGTATTGATAATAAGAAAACACCTTTTTTCTTTTTCTTTTCTCTTTTGTATTGGAGTAGTTATAGAGGGTAAATCATTCTCCATTAAATTTGTTCGAATGAAGCTATATTTTATTCTTTAGTTTTTTGTAAAGCTTAAGGGTCGTCATCAAATATACTTTTTTTAAAGAGAAGGATGTGGAAGTAGTAACCAAATATGGTATCAAACATAAAACAAATACTTAGCGCAGGCATTGTAGTCCTTAATAATTCGCGACTTGACCAGTCTCACATGAGTTGTGATTTTATAAAAGAAAGCCATGATTGCATCCCAACTTTAGAATCTCATGTCAAATACAAATAAGAGACACAAAAATTATGTGCTTACGGCTTGACATATACGTGATAATTAAGACTGTACCTTCTGTTTCTTTCAATAATACTGTTCGACAATATAGTTTTTGATGTATTTGCTCCTGTGTAGGAGATGGTCCTAATTCATTTCTCCCTTATCAAAAGACTCCCAATTCATTAATTATTTAACGTTTTATTTGAAGTTGTCTTTGGGGATGTATTATCGCTAAACGAAATAAAAAATATCCAGAATATTTTAATACGTTTTTAACATGCATAGGCCAAATCAATATTACAAAAAGATGATTGCATTTTTAATACAATTTACAAAAGTATTATGTCTAAGCATATCTCATAAACATGTTTAACCCCGCCGCATTTTTGCGCCTGTCCCAAGTCAGGAGCCTCTAGCCTTTGTTAGTCTTGTATTATTTTTAATTTTAGTTTCTTGTGTACAATTTGGAGTTTAGTATGGCGTTCATTATCACTGAACTAGTATATATATTTGTTTAGGGCCAGCTGAAGGACGCCTCCGGGTGCGGGAATTTCTCGCTGCATTGAAGACCTGTTGGTGACCTTCTGCTGTTGTCTGTTCTATGGTCGGGTTGTTGTCTCTTTGACACATTCCCCATTTCCATTCTCAATTATATATATATATGTATTCCCCAAAAAAACTTTAGAATACTTACTCATGCGATTTTAACTTGACTAAAAGTTGAAAAAGTTTCTAATATTCCATACTTGATCAAATTAAGGTCCCACTAAAATGACATTAATTGAAATGGTTTATCATTTTATCCTGAAGTTTATATCCAAGGTTCTAGTACTTGTTCAAATGGCAAAAGGTTATCACTTATATATAACTTTGTGATTATGCTCATGGTTTGAATTTACTGAAAGATTAAATATACTTCAGTCTGTCACAACTGTTTGGAATTTCTTAATTTTTAAGTCTCTGAAAAAACTCGTGACACCTGAAATTTCATTGCGGAGACAAATCAGGTAAATACAGTTAAGATATGAAAAACATGGATTTTTCTTGTCTGACATCATACTACAACACCATATTCATAATCCATCGCCACAGACTGCACGTGATTATATTCCACTATTTCCATGCATATCGTCTTACCTTGTAGATACATCCGGTATATCTCCTATCGGAGTTCATGTAATTTCCTCATTTTCGGGTTTTACTCGAATTATATATCTATAATAAACAAAAACAAACACAAACACAAAACAAAATTAAAAACCAATTGTTCAGAGAACAATTGAAGGATTTTCCACACCTAACGATATATTTTGATTCACAAATTTTAATTTTCGGTTTAAAAGGTCAATTCTAGTATCAATTGATAGCTTATTGTTTTCTGATTCCAAAAATATATGGTTTTTATTCATTTTCCGGTCTAAAAAATGTAATAGTTAAAAATGTTGATAGTTAATTTGACACTACTTTCAAAAAGATTTTGTTCAATAAACTTTTACATGAAATAAGTACAAAAAATGGCCATTTCCGGTTTACACAAGGTCACTTCCGGTTTGATTTCTCAAGGTCATATTGCTTGTTACCTAATTCATTTGTAGAAATATGAATTTAAAGCAAAGTTCAATATCTAGAACGTCAAATTTACCTATGACCTTGACCTCAATTTCAAGGTCATAAACCAAGGACCTAAAATCAAAAGACCCTAGGTCTGTAATATGTATGGTTTATGAGTTATATCACCATACGCATAATTCTTAATATAAGAGGGGCGATATCTCCCATTTTATTTCTACGCACCCTTTCAACCAAAATGTATGAGTTACGATATGTCGCAAT